GCGGAGGTTGCTGGTAGAGGCGTTGACCAAGCGCGAGTTCCGGAGAAAAGCGCGGCCGGCGCTTTGTAGAGAACGCACGGCGGAGACGAAGGGCGCGGACGCAAAGTGGCGCAGACGCGCAGGACATGGGCAACGAAAGAGGGGGCGCCGGATCCGCGCGGCAGGGCCTGCGCCGCGCGGTGCCAGGGCGTCAGGTCGAAGAACAATTCGCGCAGTAGCAGCAGCGCGAAGTAGAGCGGGCGCGTCTGCGCAGTGCGATGCCCAAGCCAAACGCGCCTGTCGCTTTTCGACGACAACGCGCAGATGTCGGGCGCGCAGAGGAGCCGCTCCGCGCCCGGCGAACGGGCGCGTCGGACATGCGCCGATGCAAAGGAAAGGGCAGCGCGAACAGAGAACGCGGAGACAGCGAACCGCAAGAGGAAGGCTGAGGCGGAAGCGTCGTCGTTGACGCGCTGCGCCCCCGGTTGCGGGGCAGCGCCCTGGAGCGCTCTGCATTTGCCCCGCGCGCAAAAGGAAAACCATCGGAGAGAAAGAAACGTTGGAGTGGTGCGCGGAGATCGTTCGAAGCGAGGCGTCACCGCGCCGGGCGTGGCCGATGCGGCGAAGCGGTTGAAGCGAGAGCTTCAGCGCGCTGCGCGCGAGAAGGAGTTCCCTCGACAGGAGCGCGTCAGCGACAGACAAGAGAGCGATCACTACACGAGGATGAGTAAACTGGCATGCGCGAAGCGCATTGCCGTCGGCTTCGCGGCTCGCAATTTGCAAGCGCACTAGTGCATAGGCGCCTGCAAGAGGAAGCGCCCCAAATCTCAGTTCGCGGGCGGGCCGAATTTGGCGCGCGCCCGCCAGGGCCGCGCGCTGATGTGCAAGGCCTGCGCGCGAGACCCGCGGCGGCGCGCGCGGCGGCGCGCGAGTGCTCGGGGCCGCCAGGGTGAACAGGGAGAGGAGGGCATGACACGGAGGGAGTTGGTCGACGTTTCAGTTCGGGGGCCACGGGTGGCATTGCCGCTGCGGCTGGACTCCGTGAGAGTGTCTCGTTGCTTTCGGCCCATTCGGCCGCCGCGCCTGGGCTGCGGGCACGAAGCCTCTGGGCTATCCGCAGGGATCTCGCGGGGAGGCTTCTCGCGAGCATCCTGGAGGCAGTTTCGAAGGCTCTCGGGGCCTCTTTTGAGCTTCCTGGGGGCTTTGGGGTGCCTTTTTGAAAGCCTCCTGGGCTCTCTCGGGGGCCTCTTCGGGCTTCCTGGGAGTCTCGTCGGTCTGAAAATTGTCACGTTCGTTTCGGGTTCCGCTCTTGGGCCGCGATGGCGAGGGGGCGCGCGCGACATTTCAACGAGCGCGACGTTTTTTTTTTTTGTCGAGTTCATGTTGTTTTCCATGTGGCTTCGGAGAGCTCGATGTCTGAAGTGCTTCGAAGACAAGTGTGCCTGAACAGGTTTCGGCGCGCGCGCCGTCGCGCGCGCGGCCCGCGTTGCGCTCGTTGATCAGGACTCTTGCGCCGGGCGCTCGGTGGAATCAATGCGGATGCGCCAGGTGGCGAGGTGGGCAGGCGGCTTGGCGAGATTGCTAGAGCAATGTGTTTTTTCCCCGCTTTCAGCAAATGCGCTCGGCCAACAAGTCGGCTGTCAAGCACCGCCCATTGATTTGATTGTTGTCTGTTTTACAGTGCGCGCACCACTGGCTTGCCTTGTCAGAGTCTTGCATGCGCGCGCGCGTGGACTCTTCGCGGTTGGTTGCCATTGCGTTGCATGGGATTGTTGGACAAATTCGTGAAACAAGTGCGCGTGCAGAGTGTTGATGGGCAGGGATGGAAGGGGGTCGACGCTGGCCTGGACGGGGTGGCATGGGCGAGTTTGCAATTTTATCCATGGGGCAACACCTCTTGTACTTTGCAGTTCCCCAGGGCGTCAGGCGAAGTCTGGGCTCGGGAGAGAACTGGACCCTGAACATCTTTGTGGGGGGGCAAATTCACGCGGTACCAGCTATGGGCTGGTAGTTACGTCTTACGTGGTACATATCCACCGTGCGGAGCTGTGCGCCGGCATTCCATTGTGCGCAACCCGATCTTATGTTGCACAACCCATGTTACCGCGATTGCGGTGACTATTTGGCACTGCGTGGCGCGACTCTGCGGCTGCGCTGGCGCGCGCAGGCTTGCGCAATGAGTGGTCAGCTGGTTTGGCGCAGCCGACGAGGCCGCGATGGCGCTTGCCGATGAGAACTTCCCAGCGCGTCTCAAAAGGCAGTCATGGCGCGCAGGTTTCCACTGCGGGTCGGTGATTCGGGTGGGCGCGTGCCATCATAATGCCCGCCACGGCGGCGGCGATGCTGATAGTTACGATCGCCGTGGCGATGGTGACGATGTCGACGGCAAGGACAATGATGACACCGATGTCACCGACGAGGACGATGATGCCCAGGTGTCGGTGACGAAGGTGATTGGTTGACGGTGGCGAGAATGGCAGCGACCGGCGATGACGATAACAGCAGTGATGCATTGACGCTGATGAGGGCGATGGTGAAAAAAAGACACGCGCGGACTTGCAAAGCATGTGGCGTACGTTTTGTTGAACAGCATGTTTGTATGCGTTTCACACATGTCTGAACAGCTGTATCTTGGAATATGCCGAAGGTCAATGGGTTCGGCAAGATTTCGACGCGCGTGTGGCGGCGCCACCGCGGGGGGGGCGCATGTGTTCATTTGGCACGGATTCGCGCACCGGGCGCGTGGTATATCCACACGGGTGCACCGCTTGGTGAGACGAGAATGCGGGTTTTGGACGGTGTGGTTACAGTCATATGGTTTTCCCACACGGTTTCAGCATATGCGCGCGGGACAAACAGTTGCATGCTTTACATAGAAAAGACGAAAGGATTTTGGTGCTTGAGCGCTGTATTGTTTGCAGCCCTGTTTTGCGTTGTGCCACTATGACATGTACGCGCACGTGTGTGGACTTCCGGCCATTGCGGCTGGGGGCCTTCGAGCATGATTTGTTGAGATGAACACGTGCACGTGCATAACATGATTTGACAGGGACGGGGGTGGGCGATACCTTGTCGCCTGGGAAGGCATTTGTTCGTTTGGAAAATAAGCGGTGAGGCATAACGATCTATCGTTTGCCGTGCCCCAGACATGGGGCGATAACCCCGAAGGGGGATATTTTTTTCCGAGGCGAGAATCTACGTGCGGCAGGGTACGTGCCATATGACGCAAGCTGCGTGTGGCAAGTTATGTGGCGCAAGCTACGTAAAGTAATGAGGCGGCAACGGGTGGCAATCTCAGTGGTCACCCCAAGCGCGGCGGCAACGAGGCGGCAACGGGCGGCAACGTGGTGAAATATTGGCGGACCCCCCAAGCGCGGCGGCAACGAGACGGCAACGGGCGGCCACCGGCGGCGACGCGGCGAAACCTTGGCGGACCCCCACGCTCGGTGACATTAGGGCGGCTACAGGCGGAGACGCGGCGACAACTCGGCGGGCCCCCGTGAGCGCGGTGGGCGGCAGCGAGGCGGCGGCGGGAGGCGACGTGGCGAAGCATCGGCGGGCACCCGAAGCGCGGCGGCAGCGAAGCGGCAACGGACGGGAACGTGCAGCAGCATGGCGGAACCGCGGCAGACCCATCCGAGTCTTTTGTGGTGCAAGGGCGAGCCTTTGAGTGCAGAGCGTGATTGGGGACATCACACGCCCCTAATTCGAAGCACGGCGCGGTGGGCGGCCACGAAGCGGCCACAGGAGGCGACGCGGAAAAAACCCTGCGTGCCCCCACAAGCGGACGGCAGCGCAGCCACGAAGCCGCCACGGGCAGCAACGCGGCGAGATTTCGACGGACCCCCGTCGGGGCGACCACGGGCGGCGACGCGGCGAACATTCGGCGGATCCCGCAAGTGGGCGGCGACGAGGTGGCCACGAGGCGGCCACGGGCGGAGGCGCGACGAAACCTCGGCTGACTCCTCCAGGGGGGCGGCAACGAAACCACGAGGCGGCCACGGGCGGCGTCGCGGCGAAACCTCGGCGGGCCCATCTGATTCTTTCAGTGACAGAAGTCATGTCCCCGAAATGCAATCGCTCGTGGGCAACGAGAAGGCTGAGCACACAAGCGCGCTACACCACGGCGAGTTGCACACATTCCACACAGACCCAAAGGAAGGCCCCAGCGGAAACGACGAGGGAGAATACAGGGAGGAGGGAGCAGGAGAAGGGGCAAGAGCAGGGGAAGGAGAGATGGGGGAGGAAGGGGGGAGGACAGAATGAGAGGGAGAAGGGTGCGGTCCTTCCCAGTTGTCGACAGAGGAATAGGAGGGTCAGAGTAAATCCAAGCGACACCAGACGCGTCAATGATACACACACGCACACACACATACACCAACATACACCCGTCTCAAGCCCTTTTTCTCATAGTCACCAGCACTAGTATGACGTGCCACTTACAGGAGGGCGGCCCCTTCATAGACAAGCGCCGCATGGGCATATGGGCGTCCAATGCAGGCGGGAACCTGTTTTGGAATAGGAATCGCCCTGCCCCTTCCTTGTCTGCAGTCAGAAGATAGATACTCAGGAGCATGAAGATCAGTCAGTGCTTAGCCAGGGCCCCGATTTGAGAGGGAGTGTGCCTAAATTCTGCGCGATTGTTGCACATGTTCCAGCTCCGAGCCAGAATGCCAGCTGCTGTCTCAATCGAGAACCCCGTGTTGAAAATTCGTGGGCGAAGAACTGTATAACATAGTTTTTTGCGCCGTCGAGGACACCTGCCCCCCAGGCGGCTGCAAAGTCAATTTGATTCCGTTCTTCGCACGCTGAGAAAAAGAACCGCCCTCTATCCATGCTCGGGGAGGACGCAAGAGGGGCGGGGGCTGCAACTTCTGCTTCACACAGCGGCTGAGTTCGGCTCCGCGGCCGAGCACATTTCTCGACGCACGGCGGCTTCCAGCGCCGGACGGAACCGGCATTGCGCAACCGGTCTGAGAACGCGCCCCGAGCCTCGAGGGAGGAGTGGCCCCCGGGTGCAGGTGCTGCCGCCCATAGGCGGCATAAAGGGCAAGCGCGACAGCAAGATGAAGACGGGGACCCAGACCTTCAAGACTGCGGCGAACGCCTCGCATCAGCCTCGGTCTGGTTGGCCCAAAAGAGGGTCCAGCGAAAAGAGGGTGGTGCAATAGAGTTGGTGCAATAGATTGGCGGGGTTGCAATAGATTTGGGGCGTGCAACAGTGCATTCCTGTGCGCAAGTGTATTGCTGAGTTTTCGCGTGCAATACATTGGTTGCAATACAATGGTACATAATTCTTTGGCGCAATACATCTGCAATGCAATGGCCCCAAATCTATTGTACTACCCTTTCAGCTGGACCCCCTTTTGGATCAACCAAACTCTGTCTCCAGCAGTATTGGCGAGCGAGCGAGCGACTATATTTCACATCAGTGCGACCGGACGCATGTCATGGGCATGTGTTGCCTGGCGTGCGTAACATATTCTCACTCACGTGCGGGAGAGGGCGGTGCACCGCTTGCAGCACTCATCTAAGCAGCCCAGCCAGAGCCGCCCCGATGGGCTGCAGGGTATGGGCTTGCAGGGCACGGCCTTGCTAGAATGTAGAGGTTGCTTGCTAGGGCAAATCATCGTCGGCTCACCCGGAAGGGATGCCCAAGAGGGAAGACAGCGGACGAATGTGGGAGCAGGAAAATGGAATTGAGCAGCCGTGAACATCGCGACAGCGATTCCATCTCCGATAGAGATATGACAATCTTCGGGTGGTATGGAGGTTGCGGGAGACCCTCATGAAGACAATGGCGTCTTGGGGCTCCCTTGGGCCCCCTTTGGGCCCCTCCTGGGCTGTCTTGGGGCTCTCTTGGGCGCGTCTTGGGCCGTCTTGGGGCGATCCTGCAGGCCTTTTGGGCCGTCTTGGCGGTCCAGACGGTTGCGATTGCGAGAATATCATAATCCTTAGGGAATCCATCGGATATCTACGATTTCCGCCTCTTGGGGCCCTCTAGGGTGTCATCTCGGAGCCGTCCCAGGGCGTGTTGGCGACCTATGGGGCTGTCTTGGGAGCATCTTGGACCGTCAGAGGGTCATCTCGGAGCTATCTTTGGTTGTTTCGGGGCCTCCTTGGGCCGTCTCGGAGCTTTTCTGGAGAGCTCCAGGGACCGAGGGTCCCCCAAACCTGCAAGGCATTTTACGGATGTATTTGAATGGATATATAGGTCGGTATCAAATCGATTAATACCACGATCTGCCGATGGCATTATCAACCTTACTTGTCGATCACTCTATCAACCTCACGGTCTAACTATTGATAAAACGATCTCTCTGTCGATGTCACTAACTTCCCATCGGGGAAACCATCGCGACAAAGCACGCATTTTGCTATCGCGTGCTGGCAAGCTCCTTGAGGCACCGAAGGCGGCGAGTGCATTTGTTGTGTCGAAATCCATCGGGACAATTATCGGCATAACCATAGGGAGAACCATCGGGACAACCATCGGGACATCTGCGGGACAACCTTCGGGACAACCGCGGAACAACCACGGGACAACTGCGGGACAACCCCGCCCCCAAAAACCGCCAGCCCGACGGGGAAGGGACGTTTGCTCGGACTTTGCCCCAACCACGGCAGGATCATTCCATTCGCCAGCGTATGCAGCTTTGCCTCGCACGCACGCGCGACACGAACACGGAACCGAAACCGACTTTCCGGTGGTGTGTCTATCCGATCGCATCCCCTAATTTGTTCCGTCGTACCATCGGTAGTTATGCTCATTATTTTGATTGTGTTCGAATTTGTATACCCTACCTACCTCGTCTACTATAGCGACCGGTTGTCAAGCTACACGATTTCTTGATGAACTATGTGCGGTTTGTTGGGGGTCAGTAGAGGTCCGTCGGCGGTCTCGTGGCCGTCTTGTTTACCGAGTTTTGTCGAAGAGGCTTGTCTGAACCATCTCGGGGAGGACATTTGGTCGGGTCCAGGAGCCCTTTTGGAACCCTCTGGGACAGTCTTTAGGGCCTCTCGGACAGTCTAAGAGCAGTCTGGAGGCTATTTTGTAGCAGATTTGGGCCGTTATGGAGGCTTCCTAGACCGTGACAATCGCACGACAATCGCGAGAGAACTTGGGAAGACACCAGCGGCGACGGAGCTAGGACGCAATTTGACAAGAGATGCCCCTTGCCAGGGCAGGACCTCTCTTGCCCTCGCACGTCTTCGCCTTTCGCACATGCACGAATCGGATTCAATCCGCAATCGATCTCTCTGATGGGGCTCTCTGTTTCAGCACCTCGGTATATGCTATCCACGATTTAATGTAGCGGCAGTTGGAGTTGATATGGCCGTCCCTCCGAATCGATTGGACGTTTCCGCTCGTGATTGTCCCCTCCCCCACGGGATTGTTCATTGTGGGAGCATTCGAGACAAACTCGATTTTGTTGGGTTTCATGCGTATTAGGAAACTGTATTTGCAGTATTGTCAGGAGACGGCCAGATGATAGTTATTGCCCCAAGAGGGAGGTTGGAGGACGCATTTAGCAAATAAGAAGGGACGGGAACAGCCGATGTGGAGAGACTTACAGCGCGACGCTGAGGTTGAAGAACACGTCGATGTCCGTGCATGGCTCCATGACAGTTCATGGAGGGGATGGGTTGTGAGTTGTGATTGTTCACGGTCAACCTCCGGAGCCAGGATGCGGCCTTAATCACAGCAAGGTTGTCTTTGCACCCTTCCCTGTTCGGCACGATAGCCTCAGAGCAGCCGAGATTGTTCGCCAGTTCCTCAGGGCATCGGGCACCACACGAGGGAAGGGAGGGAAGGGGTGGGGGTGAGGGAAGAGGGAAGGGGGATGATGGAAGAGTGAAGGGGGGGAGATGTCAAGCTGCCTGCAGCAAACCCCACCACCCTGCCTGCACAACAGCGTAGCAGCAATGAGTTTGAATTCTAAACGCTCCGCGTATCTCCACCAGCCCCAGTCGTGTCCGCCCCGCTTCCTGGATCTGTCCTCGGAGCCGCCAATCAAAAAGTATCCCCACCAGCCCATCCAGGAGCAATACCCAGGGGAGTTGCCCGTATCGAGGGAATGTGGCATCATTTGGAGAACTCGAGGAGCTTCTGTGGGCCAGAGGCTTCTTGGATGCCTCTCGGAGTCTCTTGAGATGTCTCTCGATATCTCTTGGAAGCCTCCTAGGGCGTCTTTGGGGCCTCCTGGCTGCTCTTGGGGGCCTGTTGGAGGCCTCTTGGGACGTCTTGAGGGCCCCTTGGCGGTCTTCAAAGCATCTTTGTACGCCTTGGGTGCCTCTTTGGGGTCTCTTCGTCTCTTTTTGGCGGCCACTTTGGGACCTCTTGGGGGCCCCTTGGGGGCCTCCAAGGGGCCTCTTGGGCCGACTTAGAGCACTCTTGGGGGGGCCTCTCGCAACGTCTTGGAGCTATCTTGGATGCGCCTTGGGCCATTTTGGGCGGGCGCAAACCCGAACAGGCGAGAATATCGTGCCTCCTCGGGCTCTCCTGGAGGGCCTCTTGGAGCTCTCTTGGGGTGTCTTGGAGGCCTCTTGGGCTGTCTTGAGGCCGTCTTCGACGCCTCTTGTTCGGTCTTGGGCCATCCTGGGCCCTATTGGTGTCATCTTGGCTCTGGGAAGCCGTCTTGGAGGCCGTCCTGGCCGTCGTGAGGCCGAAAAGAGCGCTGGAGAGCAGATCCGGAGAGGCTGATGTTCGAAGGCGCGAACGTCGGGTGGGGTGGGGTGGGGGGGCGGCCCTAGAAAACAAAAAGCCTTCCAGGCAACAGGACGAGCATTTCAACATGCCGACTCCGTGCAAGCACGGTGGCGGATTGATGAGGAGGAGGAGGAGGAGGGAGGAGGAGGGAGTTGGTGGAAGAGAGAATGAGAATATAGCGAGCGAGGCCGATAAGAGGAAGGGGAGGAGGACGGGTATGGCAGCTGGGGAGGACGGAGGACTGCTGCGATGAGGGACCCCGCATCCTTGCTCTGCGTCGTTGCATCCTCGATCCGGTGGCTGGCCGCATCCCCAAGAGCTGCGCCGCGCCTCCGGGCGGGGACGACCTTGGCGAGATGCCCTGTGGCTCACGCGCTGGCGCTGGAGCAAGGACAGAGAGCGTCGGGGCCGAGGCCCGGTCGTGGGGCTGGACCCCCGCCCCTCCAGGGACGGCCAAGAGGGGGGGGGATGACCAGGGGTGTGTGTGTGTGTGTGTGTGTGTGAGAGATCGTGGCCAGGGCCACGAGATCGCCCCAGATCTCATGGCGCCCGCGGCGGTCTGCACGATCTGAGCGGCTCTGCCTTCTCCTCCCCGCTTCTCTCCCTGCATTCCCGCCGCGCCCCAATGTTCCTGCGGCGCGTCCCGGCCGTAGCCCGACCGGCGCCTGCACCTGCTTCGGCTCGCTTGCGCCCGCTGACTTTGAAAGTTTCAGCACGTCCCCTGTCCCCGCCACAGAAATATACGCAGACACCATCCAGTGGACTGTTCCTGGGCGGTGTTATAGATCACCATTGGGAGCCAGCGACTTTCTACACCGCCGCCCTCCCTGAAGGTACATGCAAAAGTCGTCGGAGGGCGTCTGTGTGTGTATATATATATATATATATTCTTGGCGAACTGTCCCCCCATCCCTGGGCCGCGCACGTGCCTCGGGCCACGATCTGCGAGCCCCTCTCGTGGACGCCCCCCTTTTAGGCGCCCCCGCGCCCGACACGCACTCCGCCCTGCCTGCGCTCCTCCTCGGTGGCCCGCTGGCCCTGGCGCTCAAGCAGCACCATGGCCGCTTGCTTCAGAAAGGGGGGGATCTGGGCACAACAAAGATCCGCCACACGAAAAAAACAGACACCCTCCAAAGGATTGCTCCTGGGCCGCATGGGAGGGTGGCAATATATAAATCACCACTGGGGGCCAGCGACATTATACACCGCCGCCCTCCCTGAAGATACATGCACAGTTCGTCGGAGGGCGTCTTTGCATGTTTCCGTGAGGGCCCGCCGGGGGAGAACCCCCCGACCTCGATACGAGCTTTTTGGTTGTGGTTGTGGTCGATCTGGCCGTCTTGGAACGCCACATCGGCCACAAACCAGTGCAAAACTGCCTTGGGTGCTCCGACCACTCCTGGCGTGTGCGAGACATCCCCCCCAGGGGCGTGTCTTCCATGCGGATGTGGTCGCCTGCTGCCCCGCAAGGGGGGGGGGCTCCAGAGAGGGGCGGGCCTCGGCCTCCGCCTGGCTCTTCCGGGCCCCACTCGCGGCGCGGGAAAATCGAGGCAGGAGCTGTTACGACGGAGAAGCGTCGGATGAGCATGGAATTGTTTGGCGCTTCGCGTACGTATCCCCCAAAAGCCCATCCAGAAACGATTGCCAGGTGAGTTGGTTAATCGGGGACGCCCGGAAGCACGCGGTCGCACAGCCGTTTTGAAAACGTCCAAACTTATCTCGGGGCCAGAGCAACAAAGACCACAAGTAGCTTCGCGCAGTGAAGTTTAGGAAAGAAGTCAGTGCAATATGCGCCATGGTGTTCCCTGTGGGAAGCGTGTCTGGCGTAGGTTGCTGTATCTACGGTCCGACGCCAGTGTTGCGCAGAGTAGAGTTGTATTTCGATGGACACCCTTAATCTTAGCTCTTGCACCGATTTGTAGATTAAACTCGCATGCGTTTTTGAAATTGGCAGCACGAGTGAGTTGGGATATCTCTTGTAGCGAAGGGTGTCGGTGGTGCGGTAGCTAATCGTATCGCTGGTGTTGTCGTCGTAGTTGTTGTTGTTGTTGTTGTTGGTACCGATGCTGCTGGTGTTGATGTTGGTGCTACTGCTGGTGTTGCTGGTGCTGGTGATGCCTGGGACCATCTTGGAGGTAAGAGGAGAAGGAGGAGGAGGAGGAGGAGTAGGAGGATGCGGAGGAGCAGGAGGAGGAGGAGGAGGAGAAGGAGGAGGAGGAGGAGGAGGAGAAGGACTAGGAGGGGGAGGAGGAAAAACACGTAAGGAGGACGGGAAGGAGGAGGAGGAGGAGGAGGAGGAGGAGGAGGAGGAGGAGCAGGAGGAACGCGGCGCGAGGAGGATGAAGAGGAGCAGGGTGGCGGCAGGAAAAAGCAAGGAAGGAACGGACGATGACAAGGAGGACGAGAAATCGGGTTTGGAGGATATGTCGTGGTGATGGGTTCTTCGAAGACTCGTAATGCCATTTGGGCGCCATCTTGGGGCTCTCTTGGGGTCCTCTTGGGGCCCTTCTTGGGGCCCTGTTGGGGCTCTCTTGGGGGGTCTCGGAGCCCTCTCGCGGCACTTTGAGGGGGTCTTTGGGGCCGTCTTAGGCCGGGGTGGTCTTGTTTCCGTCGCCCCCTCGGATGCTAAAAGATGCTGCCATGGGGCCTTCTTGGCTCGCTCTTGGAGCGCTCTTGGGCGCTCATTCGGGCCGTCTTGGGGGCCTCGTGGGCCCCATTTGGGGCTATCTTCGGCCGTCTTAGGGCCATCTTGGGGCCTCAACCGCCCATTGGAGGCGAAAATGCGAGAAGGCCAAACACATTATTTTTCCCTATGTTTTTGAAGGATGTTGGCCTCTTCGGGGGGTCCTTGGAAGCTCGGAGGGCACTTGAAACCGTCTTTTGGCCGTCTTGAGACCTCTTGGATGCGTGTCGGAGGCCATCTTGAGCCATCTTGAGGTATCTTGGGCGATCTTGGAGGCCATCTTGGGCTCCCTAAGGCCCTCTCGGAGCCATCTTGGGCCAATAAGGACCCTCTGCCACCTCGCTGGGGAGGCCATCCAGATCCAGGAAGGGGGGGGCGAGGTAAACCTCCCGAGCAGGGAAAGGAAGAGGTTGGAAAAGGAAACGCCGTAGACCACCTGCGCCCAGAGGGCTGGTGGGACTTTCGAAGGTCCACACGGATTTCTCGGATCGGCGTTGGGCCCCCTGGCGGCGTCTCCGGCGCCGCCCCTGGCGCAGATCCAAGAAATCCGCGCGGACCGTGGAAAGTTTTTCCTTTAAAGGTGTTCGTTGATGTTCGGCCTCTCGGGGCCTCCGCCAGGCCTGAGGGCCGTCAGAGGAACTCAGGGATGTTAATCCTGTCCCAGGGAAGAGGTCCAGTCGTCTGGAGGTCCACGTCGTGCGAAAAATACGACGACGGGGGCTTCTGCCGGTGTGAACATGCCGCACGGTGTGTGCCTCGCCATCGGCCTCGCGTGGGTGGTGCGGCTGCCGGCGGTCTGGCACAACTGTCGGCACGCGTGCGTTCGCTGCGCAGGTAGGTTGCGTCCTGAGGTACAGGCGAGATGCGAGTCGATCCGACCCGATCCGTTCCGATCTTCCTCGCCCTGTAGGGTGCAGGTAACGTGCGCCCTGCGATGCAAGCGAGAGGTCGAGTATATCCGATACCATCCGATCGCCTCGCCCCTCTTTCCCAGAGTTCCGCCGTCCTGAACAAATCAAGGAGGGGCCGTTTACCGGGACAGTCAAACGACATCCGGGGAAGGAAAGTTGGTTGTGGAGGAGGAGGAGGAGGAGGAGGAGGAGGAGGAGGAGGAGGAGGGGGTTCAGAGACCTCGAATTGAGAAACACGGCATCGGAGATCTGGGCCCTCGCCCCTGCTCGCGTCGAGGAGAAGGAGGAGGCCTCCACGGTGCTCGAGAATCGAGAACACAATATAGCTGGTCCATCGTTCGGCCTCTGGAGAGCGGGGACCTCCCGGGACTTCGGGGGGGTTCTTCTGTGCTCAGAAACCACCTATCCCATTCAGTGGGGTAAACGATGTTGTGCATTGCCAACGGTGACCCCCAAGGCCGTTTTGGCTCAAGCGGAAAAGGTGCTGATTGCCAACACCCCAACATAACAAATCATCGCTGAACGAGGTGTGAATAGTGGTACTCACCAGCCCCCCCAATGGCGCACCGATCCCGTGAGTCGGGGACTGGGGCTTCAGCCCCATGGCCGCCTGGGCGGACAAATCGTGCCCTCCCAGGCACAAAATGCCCCTTCCCCCCCCGTCTGGCCTGCTTAGGTGGCCCCGAGTCGGTCACCCAGCCGTTCCAGGCGCCGCACTCCATCTGGCCTGCTTACGGGCCAAACGGAGAAACGTCGGCCACAGCCGTTCCAGGCGCGGCAACACGGGCCACCACGCGCCCCCCCACCCCCGGGCACAACATACCCCTTCCCCCCTCTGGCCTGCTTAGGTGGCCCCGAGTCGGTCACGCAGCGCGCGGCACCCCATCTGGCCTGCTTGAGTGGCCCAAGAGGGGGGAAAGTCGGCCACGGCCGTTCCAGGCGCGGCAACACGGACCACCGTGCCCTACAGAGTGGTGACACCAGTTAGTTGGGCCCACTAACGGGACTTAGGCCCCCCAAAGCCATATCACTTCAAGTCTCCTCCCGCATATTGTTTGCCATGGGATTTCACACGTTCTCAATCCGACCACTTGTCGGTCCCTCAAGGAGGGTGCTTCCGCTCCAGCGACGGCCGTATCTCAGGACTGGCGCTGTGCTCCCGTCCTTAAGATTTGCGCTTTCGCCCCAGCGCGGGCCACAGGTCTGGATCCGATTCGTTCCCCGTCGCTGCCGTCCGCCTTCTTTTCCCTCCTCCGACTTCCCCTGGTCCTGTTCCTCCGAGTTATTATTGATGCTTCTTCTCATCCTTCCTCGTAATCCTGTTCCTTCTCCTCTTTCTTCTGCTCATCCGCCACCTCCTGCTCTTCCTCACCCCATGTACAAAACCCTTTTCTCTACGATCGCGCATCATACGATGGGATAGTGGTTGGAACCAATGCCATCGGGGACCAGCAGGCGCAGAAATCCGCGCACTGGGAATGGAAATGTGGAACGGGTCGGATGTCAGATGTGGCGCAAGTGCAGTTGCTTTTCGGCGTCATTCAATCGCTTCACTCATTCCGCTGGTCCGTATGGTGCCATCGCAGGCGTTTGCCTGCGCGTTCGTGGCCTCTTGGGGGCCTCTTGGGGGCCGCTTGGGGGCCGCTTGGGGCCTCTTTTGGGGCCTCTTGGCGGCCTCATACGCCTCCACAGGGCCTTCTGGGCTCTCTTGGAGGCCTCTTGGGGCCTCCTGGGGGCCTCTTGGGGCGGAAGGCTCGACTTGGTGGTTTGTGTTCCCCCTTTTGGGCCTCCCCTTGGGGCCGTCTTGTGGCCCTCTTGGGCGATCTTGGGCGCCTCCCTCCAGGGCCGTTTTGGGCGCTCTTTAGAGGCCTCTTGGGCCGTGTTGGGGCGATCTTGGAAGCCTCTTGGGTCGTCTTGGAGGAGCGCAGGTAACCCGACAAGGCGAGAACGCCCGAATCCTTCGAAAACAACAAGGAAATCACTAATTTGTGCTTCTGTGGGCCCTCTTGTTGGGAGGTCTCTTAAAGGCCTCTTAAGGCGTCTTGAAGGCGCTTTGGGCTGTCCGGAGGCCATCTTTGGCGTCTCGGATCGTTCTTGGACTGTCTCGGACCATGTTGAGCTCTCTTGGAGGCCACTTGGAGCGCTCCTGGAGCGCTCTTGGGAGCCTGCTGGAACCTGGCCCGGACCTCGCCAGGACCTGCCCAGGACCTTGCCGGGACACGCCGGGGACCTTGCCGGGACTTGCCCGGAATTTTTCTTGGACCTGCCCGGGACCTTGCCAGGGTATTATTCGTCCAGAGACCCCCAAGGGCGGCCCCGCGCGCGCGAACGAGATCTTAGCACGCGCCCTTGGCCCGCCTGGGCTGGCGATATATATATATATATATATATATATATATACATATATATACACATGTGTGTATGTATATATATATATATATATATATATATATTTGTCGCCTTCCTCCTCCCTCAACCTACGCATGATTTACTTTCCTCCCATCTCACTGTTGCTCTCTCTCTCTCTCTCTTTCTCTCTTTTTGTTCCTCTCTCTCTCTGTGTATCATCATACTCATTTGTTCCTCCTTCCCATCCTCCCCATCTGTCCTCCATGTTTACCTTAACTCTCCATTATCATCTTCCTCATTCAACTTTTATTTCTCCACCTCTCCTCTTGTCCCGTTTTCTCTTCAGCGTACATGTGCCAGATAATATGCATGCATTGAGGCGCGCACTTGAAAACAATATAATCCACACGTTGCGAGGCGCCCGCGCGACAGCAGTGTGCCGCAAATAGTTTGCCGCGGTGTGGCGCATAATGCTGGACGCGGAGCTTCCGACTAATTTAAGCGAGGAAGATAATAGTTCCACAGTGCCGTTCTCATCATCTCGTCGACGATTGTCATTGGTGTCGGTGGCCCAGTCATAGACACCGTTGCATTCGATGGTTCACTGTGGTCAAAGCGCGTAATCATGCGACAAGGACCTGCGTATAGGAGATTCTGTCGGAGAGTTTCGAGTGGCAAGGTTGATGCATGGTGCATGTTTCTAGATGTTGCCGATACATGCATGACATTTTCAAGCGAATGTGCACTTAATAGTTGCAGGGGGAGTTCTGGGCAGGCGCTATGAACGCTCACGGCAGCGGACATGGAAGCATTGGGCAGGCCACCACCATTTCTGCCGTGCCCGTCTTGCACGCAGTCGTCCGTTTGAGACCAAGCGGCAATGTGGTCAGGCGAACTCTGCAGCTCCGCCCCTCTGCTCTACGAGCTCGGGTGCCCCCCACCCTCGGGCCTTCGGAGTTGGCCTGAGCTCGGCACCCTCACCAGATCCCCGGCTGCCGCGGGCGACACGCCAGGAGTGCTCCTTCTCGCCGCCAAAGAGAGGGGAGAGTCCGAGGCCCCCAGCAGAGTTGATCCTAGAAGCTCAGGAAGCCCCCCTGCCCTCCAGGAGCGACGCAGCATCTGGGAGCGGATTTCTTGATGGGCTCTGCCGTTCGGCCCACACCCGCAGCTCTTGCACAGGCGGCGCGGCGGGCCATCGGGCAAGTGACCCACGGACCACACCAGTTTTCGTTGTCGGTGGGGTCCCGCGTCAGAAATCTACCTTGCCCTGTGGCTCCGGAGGGAGCACATGTGTTTTTTTTTCTACGGGTTCCACCAGGACTTGCGCTTTGGGTTTGCGATTACTCTCCAGAGACCCAAGGCGCGCGTACCTTTGGCAACACATGACCACATGTTGGGATTGAGCTCGGTGCGCTGCAAGGGCCTGTCTGCTGCTGTGGGAGAATCAGAAGCCACGTCAGGGGGGGGGCGGGGATACGATCAGTGGGGGATTTATTGACTTCCAATCGCCCAGTCATGGCCGACAGGGGCCCACCTATTCGACCCCGCCCAGGAACGAGTGGTTCTAGCGGGGTCTATCGTCGATCTATCGGCGATGTATCCCCCGTTACAGTTCGATGTCTCCCCCTCTGAGCCAGACCCCGCCTATCGTTGCCCCTCAGTGAAGCGGATCGTGTTGTTGTGGCGATGACGCCGCGGGAGTTTTAAGCACGCCTCAGTTGATCACGCAAAGAGGCAGGGAAGGGGGAGGAGGGAAGGGGGGATGAGGGTGATGAGGGGGGTGAGGGGGGTGAGGGGAGGTGGGGCAGAGGAGGAGAGGGAAGGAGTGCTCGCAGCAAAAGGGAGCGCGCCTTCGCTTCTTCATGCCAAACGCTGCGCCAGTCGAAGCACGTGCTGGCCGCACCCCCCCCTGGAAGCTGCAAGCTGCCTCGAGTTGCAGCGATTTGAGCCTCTGAGGTGTCCGATCGCTGCTGGGAGGCCTGGGACAGCCACCTCGCACAGCGACTCGTGCGAAAGAGTGGCTCGCAGCGCACGCGCGACAGTGCTTTTGCTGCGCGGCTCTCGCGGGCGCGGGGCGCCACACCCGAGCGCGCAGGCCTTGCCGCATCGCACGCATCGACCGGCAAGCCGCACACCTCAGGGCCTTGCACCCTTGGAGGAGGAGCAGGAGGAGGAGGAGCAGGAGGAGGAGGAGGAGGAGGAGGAGGAGGACAAGAAAAACATTCATTCGTGTCTTCTGAGAAGCCGCCCTGCCGGAGCTGCGCGGCGGGGCGGGGACGGGGCGTTGCCTCATGCCCTCCCGCCCCCCCCCCCCCGCGCCCCTCCCCCCCATCATGACGCCCGCAATCGCCGCGGATGGAAAGACGGTCTCCGAGCAGCACCGACCTCAGGAGCGAAAGAAGGACGTACATGTACATGAATCCACGCTGTTTTCGAGAGCACGCATTTCACAAATGTTCGTATAACGCGGCCCGTCTCGCGAATCGAGGGGCCGTGTTCATGTACATAGCTGGGCGCGTACGTCCTTTGTGGGCTCCCTATGGCCAGGAGTGATCAGGGCGGGCTCGCACCTCGTCAGCGCGGCGGCGGCGCGCCAGCGCGGACGCTCGGGGCCGAGTGCCCCGCTCCCTCTGTGCGCACCGCCGGCCCGCGCCCGCCCTGGTGAGCACCGGATGGTCTGGGACGGCCGTGCCTCCGATGTTCCGCGGCAGCGGAAAGGGGTGATGGGCCAATTTCCCACCACCACTACCACATAGGTAGGACGGGGGAGAAGGGAGGATTGGGAGGTCCTCCTCCTCCTCCTCCTCCTCCTCCTCCTCCTCCTCCTCCTCCTACCTATGGTAGTGGTGGTGGGAAATCGGCCCATCAAGGGGGGGGGGAGATACAGTCGGGGCCCTGAAGAAGGAACCCTTCTCGTTGGGGAGGGGCTCCGTGTTCCTTAAGTGTTTCACGGCTTGCCTCAGGTTTTCCTTATGTTTTCGACGGGAAATCGAGGTTTATAACCCATGGATTATAACCCATGGAAAAAGGGGCCTCGTTCCTTATTTAGGGTTCCAGCGCTGCTGAAGCTCAGGAGCGAGGCAGGGCCGCCAGAGCGGCCAGGTCGGTGGACCCCAGGCCTGAAGTCGGCCTCAGCGCGGTGTGATGGTGCCACGCTTCGGGGTCTGGTCCTGGCGGGCTGCGGGCTCGCGCAAGCGCTGCTTGCGGGGCCGTAAGACGGCATCTGAATTTGTCTGTGCATGATAAGCCCCAGGGTGATAGGATAATAATATATATATATATATATATATATATATATATATATATAAAAAAAAAAAAAAAAAAAAAAAAAAAAAAAAAAAAAAAAAAAAAAAAAAAAAAAAAAAAAAAAAAAAAAAAAAAACGACCGTACAGATGCAGAGGGCGATGCATCGACCCCCCAATCGCCCACTCATCGCCGATAGGGGGAGGCCAGGCGACGTTCCCGCCCTTGTGCCAGTCCCCCCGCATCGTCGATCTATCAGCGATGCATCGCCGAGTCCGGGTCGATGTTCCCCCCTGTGCCAGTCTCCCTTTGATCGTTGCTTCTCACTGTGCCAGGTTGCCGGCCTGGAGCCTCGCCAGAGCAGCAGAACGATTAGTTATCTGATTGTCGAGGAGGTCAACGCATTGCGATGGGGGACGCGCCGCACAAGCAGCTCCTGACCTCGCGGTTAGCTGCTTACCGAAGCAAACGCGCCGCCAAAAATGGACTCGACGTCTGCCTTCAGATTGCCTCGCCCGAAATTGCCAGGGTTCTCTTGTGAATGGCAAAGGTGCAGACGCCCTTTGGGACTTACAACGCCCGCCCGTGACCAAAGTCCGTTCTAAACATGTCCAGGAATTTCCGGCGAAATATGTAGATCATTGGGGTCGAAATTTCGTGGAGGCCCCACCACCTTTCGGCCACCCGGATGGAGGTCAAGCCTGCCTCTTTGCGCCGCGAACCTCGCCACAGGGGTCGCAGATGGTCGGGGTGCTCAGCAACTCCAAGGGCTTCGGCGCCAACCCAGGCGGCCGTGATGGCCTCCTCCGCAAGCCGCGCGGGGCCGCCGGCGGGCCAGTTGGGGCCCGCTTTGGGCGCCGCTGCATCACATGGTGTCGTTCTGCGCAAGCAAGAAGCGTCAACGTCGACGTCTTTGTCTTGGCCCTGTGCTGGCTTTTCTGGGGGCTCTCGCCGCAACGGCTGGACGCAGCTCGAAAAATTGGCCGGGATGGATCCTAGCAGCGGTCTGGGGGTTGATTGTGAGCGGGTGTTTGATGTTCGCTTTGCCATGAAGCTAAATTACATGCGTGCTAGCGCGCACCCCACAGAGAGTCATTGCAGTGTTGATGTGTTAGGTCTGTGGTGCAAGCTATGTTGTGCAATCAACGTGGTGATGCAAATGTGATTTGAATATAGCTTTGCGGTGCAAGCGATGTGGTGTACGTAAGCTATGTGGTGCAATACCGACCTGCTTGCGGCAAGTCCACCCACCGTGCCAGCCCAGCATTCTGGGTGGCGCTTGTTCGAGGGGTCAGGGGAAATCGTCACGTTCGACACTTGGTAACTCCAGGCTCGGAAGAGCCGTGATGCGGATGACGATGATGAGGAGGAGGAGGAAGATGGGGAGGAGAAGGAGCAGGAGAGGAATTCAGAGGAAGGCAGTCACATGTGGCACCTTTCGCCTCCATTTTCTGAGGAGTCCTCATGGCGCTCATTTGGGTTGTCTTAATGCCATCTAAGCTTCCTGTTCGGCAGTCTTGTGGGTCCCTTGTGACACCTTGGGGCCTCTTCGGCAGTCTTGGGGCCCTGTTCGGCCATTTTGGGATTTTCCTAGGCCGTCTTGGGGCCCTCTTGGCCGTATGGTGTGTGTGTGTGTGTGAGTGTGTGTGTGTGTTCGGGATGTGTGTGTGTGCGTGTGTGTGTGTGTGTGTGCGTGTGTGCGCGTGTTTGTGTGTGCGTGTGTGTGCAAGTGTGTGTAAGTGTGTGTGAGTGTGTGTAGGTGAGTATAAGTGTGTGTGTGTGTGCGTGTGTGTGCGTGTGCGTGTGTGCGTGCGTGTGTGCGTGCGTGTTTGTGTGTGGTGTGTGTGGGTGTGGGTATGGGTGTGTGGGGATGTTTGGGGATGTGTGGGGATGTGGATGTGTGTGTGTGGGTGTGTGGGTGTGTGGGTGTGTGTGTGTGTGTTTGCGTGTGTGTGCTGGGGGGGGGGTGTTGGCGGGGATGTTCGGGGTGTTCGGGTGTGTGTGTGTGTGTGCGTGTGAGCGTGTGTGTGTGTGTGTGTGTGTGTGTCTGTGTGTGTTGTGTGGGTGTTGTGTGTGTTGTGTGTTGTGTGTGATGTGTGTGTTGTGTGTGTGTTGTGGGCGTGGGCGTGGGCGTGTGGGCGTGTGGGCGTGTGGGCGTGCGGGCGTAAGTACGTGTGTGCGTGTGTGCGTGTGTGCGTGTGTGCGTGTGTGCGTGTGCGTGTGCGTGTGAACTTGCGAGTGAACTTGTGCGTGTGCGTGTGCGTGTGCGTGTGCGTGTGCGTGCGCGTGTGGGTGTGGGTGTGGGTGTGGGTGCGTGTGCGTGTGCGTGTGCGTGTGCGTGTGCGTGTGCGTGTGCGTGTGCGTGTGCGTGTGCGTGTGCGTGTGCGTGTGCGTGTGTGTGTGTGTTGTGTTGTGTTGTGTTGGGTTGGGTTGGGTTGTGTTGTGTTGTGTTGTGTTATGTTGTGTTGTGTTGTGTTGTGTTGTGGTGTGGTGTGGTGTGGTGTGGTGTGGTGTGGTGTGTTGTGTTGTGTGTGCGCACGTGTGTGTGTGTGTGTGTGTGGTGTGTGTGTGTGTGTGCGTGTGTGTGTGTTGTGTGTGTGTGTGTGGGGGGAGGGGGGAGGGGGGGGGGGGGTCGCCGATGGGATATCGAAGGGCCTTTTGAGGCCGCATTGTTGGGTGCCTCTGGAATCCCTTTTAGGCTGTCTTGAACGCCCCGTGGCCATCATCGGGTCCTCTTAGGCCCTTTTGAGAGCCTCGGGGGCAGTCTTGGGGCCATCTTGGAGGCTTCTTGGGCCGTCTTGAGCTGACTGAAGCCCCAAAAGGGGAAAACGCTAAACTAATTTGAAACCTCTGGAAATCGGAGAGTTCGGTGTCTTCAGACCCTGTTGGGGGTACTGTTGTGGCCCTCTTGGGCCTTCTTGGAAGCATCTTGGACTATCTTGAGGCCATGTTGGTCCGCAGTCTTCGAGACATCTTGGGGCTTCTTGGAAGCTGTGGACGCAAAGGCATTGTGTTTTACAAGGGACCGTGGCCTCGTGAGCGCAGACCATTGCATGTTACAAGGGATAGTAGCCTCGGGAGAGGAGGACCCTCGATGATTACAGAAACCTTACCACACAGCACTTGCCATTTTATCACGTCCCAATGTGCCAGGGGGCACGGTGGCGGATATGCCGTGTAAGTTATGTGGTGTGTCCTATGCGGTGCAAGTTATATGGTGTAAGCTAGATGGTGTAAGCTATGCTGTGCAGCAGATGTGGTGCAACATATGTATTGCAAGCTACGGGGGGAAATATAGTTCGTGATTGCTATGTGCTAGAAGGTTTGCGGTGTAAACTATGTGGTGCAATTAATTTCGCTTCTAACGAGTTGTCAATTCCAATACTTGCGCAAGCATCCCACCCTCCCACCTGCAAGTTGCTAGGCAAAACTCATTTGGCCACGTTTGTGGTTCCCAGCTGGGATTTGCCAGCGCGTCTCTACGGTCACATCGGCTTACAGCGCTTACCGATGGTAACTTCCCAGCTCGTCGCAAAGGCCGCGCTGACGCGTGGGCATTTCAGTGCGGGTCGGTGACCCGGGCGTGCGCGACATCATGATGATGTCGACAAAAGCGACATCGATCATGATTAAACCGATGGTGATGTGGATTATGACGATGACGAAAGCAAGGCCAATGACGGCGTCGATGCTGGTGACGACGATGATGTTGATGATGATGATGATGATGATGATGATGATGGTGATGTCCATGTGCCAGTGATGAAGGTGATTTTGTTGATGGTGGCGGCAGCAGTGGCGGCGATTGAAGATGACGGTATAAGTCGATGGCGTTGATCAGGGTGATTAGGGAGTACGCGCGCAGATAGCCAATAAGATTTCGTTGGTATAACATCAATGAGTCTATGTGTGCATTTGCTGCTCAAGAGCTCTGTGTTGAAATGTTTGGGAAAGCGTTGGCTTCGTCAGGATTTCGACACTCGCTGGTGGCTGCGCGCGCATGTTGCCCGCATGGTTTTTTTGTGGATTCGTGCATTGGGGGCATGCTGTATCAACGCGGGCGCACAGCGTGATGAGATGAGAATGCGGGCGTTCGGCCAGAGTGCTACAGTCACATGGTTTCAACACAAGCTCACCAAGTGTGTGCGGACAGAACATCTGCAATACTTTAGATGCCAAAGCCAGTGGGCTTGTAGGTCTTATATGTTGAAACGCTTGCCGACCTAATGTGCTTGGTCTGGTTTTGACATGTGCGCGCGTGTGGACTGGTATCTTGTTACTCGCCCGCGACTGGCCACCAACCAGGCACCAGGCGAAACCTCGGCGGACCCACCCAATCATCCAACAAGCCATATAAAACGCCCTCAGTGCAAGCACCGTCGACGGAAGAGAGACAGGGATCCGGAGACACCCCGTCATCTTCTTTTTTCCTCCGCGGTTGTGTGTTGTAGATCTTTTCCGTGCCCCATGGGGCCTCAGGAGATTTTCTCATACCTCCTGAGATCACCCATTGGGGCGCGAGGAAAACCGCGGTTTGCAGTCTGGGCCGAGGAGTTGCTCCTCCGCGCGTGGGCCGCGCGAGAGCGCGAAGGCACCCATGCCTCGCGCAGCGCGATGGGGAGGTGGCCTGAGAGGTCTGAGTAGCGCCCACCTTCCAAACATCAGCAACGCGCAGGGGGGGGGGGGGATGGGGGGAGGGGGAGGGTCTGAAGTCCCCCTGCTGCTTAGAAGGCGCGGGCCGTATCCATAGATGTAGGGCCAGTGCCTTCTAAGAAGCAGCCTCCTTTATTGAAGCCCTCCCACCTCCCTCCCCCTTGTGCGCGCCGCCAAAAACAGGTGACTGCTGGGTAGTCTGAGAATGCGCGCAGTCGTTCACGCGAGCGCAGGGTAGCTCGCAGATCGCATGGCTAAGCCAGTCAGTGGCGCTGTCGAGGGAGCATATACCCCCGCATTCAATAAGTAGTTCACGCGCGCTGCGTTGCGAAGACAACTACCAACAGCACACTTCGGCGGGGCACGGCGATCCCATCCTGCCTTGGTCCTGACATGGGGAGGCGGCGGGGGCGTAGAGCAATCCATCCATGGATGTGGAGTGTTGCCGCTGCGCCAGCTGCAACCATTCCTCAGCACACAGTGGATCCAACATTGTAGGCAACGATCTCCTGCGCACCTGCTTGGCGCGCAACTTATCTTCTGTTACAGTTGAAGATACAGGTAATGTGAGCATGGCCCCTGCGCAAGCATCGAGAAGTGTATAGATAAGTTGCATCGGTGCAGTCTGGCAGCACCTGCCGAGAGCTGTGCGCGGCTCTCTGGACTTTGGCGCAAGCCGCTTTGGCTAAGGGTGTGCTCGCGCACGGGTTCAATCAATTGTCTCTGGAACTTGTTCGGATTGAGGCCGTTGCGAGTCAACATGTAATCCGCTTTCAGAATGCATGGTCTCAGACATCAGGCGAGAAACTCAAAAAGGCGCCGTACCCTTTGAAGCTGCCATAATACATTCTGGCCGGGCTAATCAATGGAGCAAAGCATTGCAGTTGATCTTCGAAGCGTCACGAGTGAACGTAAAATTAAGTCCAACCCCCTTCATCGCGACTGTCAGCGCATGTAGGAAAGGCAGGCAATGGCAACGGGCCTTGTCGCTGTTCAGTGAAATGTGGAAGATGAAGATTGAGCTCGACGTCATCAGCTACAGCGCTGGAATCAGCGTGTGCGAGATGGGCGGGCAGTGGCAGCAGGCTTTATCCCTGCTCAGCGAGATGCGGGAGGCAAACGTGGCGCCCAATGTCATCAGTTACAGCGCTGGGATCAGCGCCTGCCAGAAAGGCAAGCAGTGGCGGTGGGCCATGTCGCTGCTTCGCGAGATGCGGGAGGCGCAGTTGGAGGTCAACGTCATCAGTTACAACTCTGGGATCAGCGCGTGCGCGAATGGCGGGCAGTGGCAGCGGGCTCTGGCGTTGCTCGGAGAGATGTGGGAAGACAAGTTGAAACCCAGTACGATTACACATCGGTCGCTGAAAGTAGGTATTTCTGGATCCCCAGATCCCAATCTACCTTAGGCGCCCTCCTACTTCAAGAGTCAAGCGGCTTTCCCATCTTCCCTCCTCTTCAGGGAGCGGGCGGAAGCGTAATCTACTTCCACCGCCTTCCTACTCCATGGTTCTGCCTACTTCTTCCGACCGACGAGTCACCTCTTCTGCAGTGCAAGGCCCTTTGTGTGCGTGGAGTGCCTGGCCTGTGCCCCGCGCAGGGTTGTTCAGAGCCCTCCGAGGGCTCCAGGAACTCCCGCGGGGTTCCCAGAACCTTCGAAAGCATAGTCCTAGCGAGCCCCAGGAGCCCCCACTACTGGTCGGTCGTGGAGAGTAGGTCTTTTTGGATTCCCAGATCCCGATCTACTTTAGCCGCCGTCCTACTTCAAGGATCGAGTGGGTTCCTTTTTCCTTCCTCTTCAGGGGGCGGGCGGAAGTCCCTTCTACGTCAACGCCTTCCTACTTTATATTACTACCTACTTCTTCCGACCGACGTGTACGGCCCAAGACCGCCCCAGCACCCCAACACCCCCCAAGACATCATCACAACCGCACCGAGAAATCCGGGGAGACCGTGGGAGAGCTTCAAGGGAGGCCAAAGGAAAGCCCCACGAAGGCTCAACGAACGCCCCGAGGCAGCCCAGGAGGCCTCCAGCAGGGGACGCAGCTTCGGCCACGCGCGCGCGCCGATGCCGCACCCCGAAGCATCTCGTCCACTGGGAGGGTCGCGTGCTGGCCGCTTCTTGAGGCCCTCCCCTCTCCTCGCTCTATTGGCCTTCACGCGTCGCGTATCCCACCAGCCCACTCGGAAACGATGCCCGTGAGCGCCGACGGGCAACGGCAGGAAGAGACCCATGTTAGAGCGACACGAGATTCGGACGAGGAAAAGGTACCACTACCGCTACCTGTCGTCCGTTGTCCCCCTCGTGGGCCTCCTGGGAGGCCCTCGTCGCCACGCTGCGTTCGCCTGGAAATCCTGGTCAGAACGCACCCTGGGACCTGTTGGTTTGGTTGCCCCAGAAGCGGGCAGGGAGAGGAGGGGGAAGGAGGATCTTGAGATCGCGGAGGCCTTTTTGGAGCATCGGAGGTCTTCTTGGAGCCATCGTTCGTTCGCAAGCCATGTCGCACGACACATCGGCTCAGCAGGGGAAAAGTGCTTGCCGCGCAGGATAAGCGGCAATCATATACATATCACACCTGGGCAGCTATGGGGTCAACGAGGACGGGGACGAGGACAAGGAGCAGGAGGAGAAAGACGACGACAAGGAAGATGACGACGACGAAGACGAGGACGCGGACGAAGACGAGGAGAACGAGGACGAGCATGAGGAGGATGAAGAGGCCGAAGGCTGAAGGCATGCATGCCTGGTCCATGCCAGGCTACGCCGCACAGGGCGGCCTACGATCCGCGCGGGCAGGAGAGCAAGAATGCCTGGCCCCCAGAGGCCCATGGACGGGCCGCGGGCCGGGCGTGCCAGCCAGGGACACCACGATTCTCTTCTCTCCTCCCCTTTCCCTGCCCCCTCCTCCCCCTCCTCCTCCTCCTCCTCCTCCTCCTCCTCCTCCTCCTCCTCCTCCTCCTCCTCGTTCCTCGTTCCTCCTCCTCCCCCCCCTCCTCCTCGCCCTCCTCCTCGCCCTCCTCCCCCTCGACCCCAGGGACACCACGTGCCAGCCAGGGACACCACGAGGCCCGGCTAGGCCCAAGGGCAGAGCCCCAGCTCTCCGAGCCGAGTCCAACCGTGGCGACGCTGAGGCACCCAGCCCTAGAATCGGGTCGGGCGAAAGGGGGGGATTGGGAAAGGGGGGGTTACGAAATTTGCTGCATGCAGCTGGTTTCGGCCTCACCGAGGGGCCCATTCCTCGATACATGGCCGCCTCTGGCGCCGGGAGGCGCCAGGAAAATCAGCTACGCGAGCTGATTCTCAAACCCCCCCTTTGCTATCCCCCCCTTTCGCCCGACCCGATAAGACCAAACACAGCCGAAGCCAGGCCCCCGGGGGCCAGCCCCGCGCCCGCAGGCCAAGAGGAGCACCACGGCTCGGTGTCGCAGCCCATGCAGGCCGCGAAGTCGAGCCCCCAGCTTTCCAAGCCGAGTCCACCGGTGGCGACTCCGTCCCCGCGGACACCGAAAGTCCTCAGCATTGCGGCGAAAACTTGCACTCGACGCCGCCCTCACGGCTCATCATCAGTCTCATAGCCGTTCCTTATTTCGCGCGCGTCTGCCTTCCGCAGGAGGCCCAGCAGGCAGAGGTCTTCGGCCAAGCTGTTAGCCAGCTCGTCGGTTAGCGCGTCGGTCTTGTCGGACAGGGCATCGGCGAAGCGGGCGACGAGCTTGTGCAGGGCCTCCTGCAGGATGGCCCACCCCCCCGGCGTTGATCCCCGAGAGGTCAAACTCCTCCATGGCCAGTTCCACCATTGGCTTTGTCTTCCTGCCACGCTCTGGCCCAGTCTTGGCTTCCAGTACTCCTTCGCTCAGATCGGCCCATGTCCCCGCTGGCTGATCGCTCTTCGGCCCTGGAAACTCCATCAATTCCAGGGCCCCCTCAAGGTCCCAGGCGCACTGGGCCACCGCGTCGTCCTCGCCCTCATCCAGGACATGGCGGGTCGGTCCCCTCGTTGCCGCGGTGGTCCCATTTTGCTGCTCTTCCGGCTCCACGGGTGCTACTGGTGGCTGGGCGGACGTTTGCCCCGGGGAAAAATCGGGCGCCCCGTTGCTTGCGCCTTCACTTCAGAGCCAGTTCCCGAACCTAGAACTTAATCTTTTCCTGCCTCCGCACGAAGACAATTCTTTGAGCCATGCTGGGGTCTTCTTGGGGCAATTTTGGGGTTTGCGTTACGTCATCCTGGGGCCCTCTCTGGGGCTCTTTTGGAAGGTCCTGGGGTCCGCATGGGGGGCTCTTTCCATGTGTCTTGAGGCCCTCTTGCGGCTTGACTGGGGCCATCTTGGAGGTCCCTGTAAGGCCTATTGCGGCAATCTTGTAGGGCGTCGAACAGAGAGGGGGGGTCCCCGATTTGCCTCCCCCCCTCTTGAGCCATCAAAATCGCCTCTTGGGCCTTTCTTGGGGCGATCGTGGGCTTTCTTGGAGCCGTCTTGGGGGCCTCTTGGGGCTCTGTTCGGCTATCGTGGGCATCTTGAGGCTTCACCTGCGCATCGGAAGCCAAAAGGCGAGAAGGCAAAATCCATAGATTCCCCAAGCAGAGCTCGAACTTAAGAATTCTCCCTGCTTCTCCAAGGAACTGTGCCTGGCTGGCGGTCTGGCGGCTCCGTGCTCGCCGTCGCCGCCTCGTCGCCGACAGTCGTTCGAGTCTGGCTGGCGATCTGGCGGCTCCGTGCTCGCCGTCGCCGCCCCGTCGCCGCCTAGATTGCACAACAACGATTGCACCACATAGATTGCACCGCACAGTTTGCACCGCACAGACTGCATTACACGGACTCTCCTTTTTAAAAAAGGACGTAGGCTCTACCACCCTCTCCCCCCAGGGTTAAAGACCCCCAGGGAAACGATGCAAAACGCATAGGATTCTGCCCCCATTTCCATCCTGCCTGTGAATACATACTATCCCAGCCAGGCTGGTATCGGTCCCCCCCGACCTAGTCACTTACAATGCTGGGATTTGCGCGTGCGAGAAAGGCCAGCAGTGGCAGCGGGCGTTGTCGTTGTTCAGCGAGATTTCGGAGGCGAAGCTGGAGCCCGACGCCATCAGCTACAATGCTGGGATTAGTGCGTGCGCGAATTGCGGGTGGTGGCAGCGGGCCTTTGCGCTGCTAAGTGGGATGTGTGAGGCGAACTTGGAGCCCGACGTCTTCAGCTACAGCGCTGGGATCAGCGCCTGCAAGAATTGCGGGCAGTGGCAGCGGGCTTTGTCTCTGTTCGACGACATGTGCGAGGCGAGGGTGGAACGCGACGCCATCAGCTACAACGCTGGGATCAGCGCTTGCGAGCAAGGTGAGCAGTGGCAGCGGGCATTGTCGTTGTTCTGCGAGTTGTGGCAGGTAAGATTGGAGCCCAACGCCATCAGTACTACATTTCTGGGCGTTGCGCGTGCGAAAAGGCCTTGTAGTGAAAAAGCTGCCCCCGAGCGCCCGAAGCGCCCCCGACCTCTCCGACAGCTCGAGAGAGCCCTCTGGTGGACTCAAGATTGCCCTTGACAGCCCCAAGACAGTTCTGAGACGCTCCGGAGCGCGCGAGGACCGGCTCAAGAGAGCCCGAATGAAGCCCCACGACAGCCCTAGACGGCCCGACGACTGGCGAGGTGCCTCGGAAAACGGCCGAACCGCACCCCGATGACGGTCCCCCGAGGCCAAAATCATTAGTTTTTGTTTGGTTTGTTGAAGGTTTTCCATTTTCTCGCCATTTTGGGCCTAGAACGGCTCCAGGGCCATCCCAAATCGCCCCAAGACGGTCCAGGAGGCCCTGCCAAGTGCCCGAAGACGGCCCCAGAGGGACCGAAGATTGCTTAGGGGAAGCCCAAGACAGCCTGATAGTGCCCCCGGTGGCCTCCAAGACAGCCCCAAGAGGGACTTAGGTGCTGCCCAACAGGCACCTAACCGAGCTCTAAGACGGCCCGAGACCCCTACATGGTCCCAGGACGGCCCAAGAGGCCCCCGAGATGGCCGAGGAAAGCCCATACAGGCTCCGTAGAGACCCCCACGAGGTCTCGACGTGGGGCCGAGGGGAGCCCAGACGACGCCCTTCCCGCAGCCCCCAATGGGCCAAGAACCCTTCAAGGACCACTTCCACATGCCGCAGAGTTTCCCATGAGACGCCGATGGTTCCCAAGGAGTTCCCAAGGAGAGTGCCTCGAGCCACGGCACCCCTTCGCCGCCTCTCGAAGCCCCAACGCTATCAAGAAAGCCCCAGACCCCCAAGGCTTACCCCAGACCACTCCCAAATGCCCCAGAGCCTCTCAACAGACTGCGATAGTCCCCACAGAGCTCCCAAGGGCGGTCCACGGGCCACTCCGAGATGCCCCAGAGTCGCCCACAAGACTCTGACGCTTGCCAAGAGACTCCGACAGTTCCCACAGAGCTCCCAAGAGCGGATCTAGGAAGAGACTCCCATAGTTCCCACGGAGCTCCCAAGAGCGGTCCCAGGACCACTCCGAGACGGCCCAGAATCGCCCTCAAGACCTCCCCAACTACAGAAGTTTAGGGGTGACAGGGGAAACTTCTCCTGAGATGTCTCCCTCCTTAACTCATCGAGGCTCCAGCCGCTCTGGGGCCTCCACTCTGGCTGTAACGGGTGACCGGGGGGAACCCGCAGCAATTTCGGTCATTCCTTTCCTACGGCCGATTAGGGGTGAAGGGGGGGGGACCTGCGGACGCTGCGGGGGGCCAGCATCTCGGTCCCCCCATGCGGCCGAGTAGAGCCCTCGGTGGCCCCCAAGACAGTCCGAAGACTTCGAAATCCCTCCCTGGACCACTCCGAGATGGTGCAGGCCCCCCCTAGGACATTCGAAGCAGGCCTCCAGCCAAGGCTCCTGGAGCCTGCAGCAAACTCTGCAGCTAACCTCAGGGGTGACATGGGGGACACCTTCTGACAGCAATCTCACAGCACGCACGCTCTATAAATTTCCTGGGCACCGCCGCCGTAGTCGTCGTCATCGTCGCTATCGTCGTCGTCGTCGTCGTAGTCGTAGTCGTCGTCGCAGCCACCGCCGCCGCCGCCGTCGTCGGTGTCGTTGGGGGCTCGTTGGGGGCTCCCAGACCCGAGACGGGCGAGCAGCGCTACCTGGCGCCCTCGCAGCTCAGCGATATGTGGCAGGCAAACGTGACGCCATTCATCCTGCTCGCCTTGCGGCAGCACCCTTTCACCCCGCAATTGGACGTAGTTCACGGGTCAGCCCTAGTCAGCTACAACGCGGGGATCAGCGCGTGCGGGAAGGGCGAGCAGTGGCAGCGGGCCTCAGCCCTGCTCAGCGAAATGCGGGAGGCCAGGTTGAAGCCCAACGTCATCAGTTACAGCGCTGGGATCAGCGCGTGCGAGAAGGGCAAACAGTGGCAGCAGGCCTTGTCCCTGCTCAGTGAGATGTGCGAGGCGAAGTTGGAGCCCAACGTCATCAGCTACAATGCTGGGATCAGCGCGTGCGAGAAAGGCGAGCAGTGGCAGTGGGCCTTAACTCTGCTCAACGAGATGTGGGAGGTCATAATAGAGCCCAACGTCATCAGTTACAGCGCTGGGACCAGCGCATGCCAGAAAGGCCAACAATGGCCTCGGGCCCTGTCGCTGTTCAGCGATATGTTGGAGGCGAAGTTGAAGCCCAACAGCATGAGCTACAACGCTGGGATCAGCGCGTGCGCGGATGTCGGGCAGTGGCAGTGGGCTTTGGCGCTGCTTAGCCAGAAGTGGGAGGCCAAATTGGATCCCGATGCCTTCTACCCTACATGGCCGGGAGCGGCGCTTGCCAGAGGGGTGGCAGCGTCAAGCGGTCGAGATCATGCTCGTCTAGCCCCAACGGGCCCCGGCGAGCTTGGCGGGCTCCGAGACGGTCATGGTCCGAGACGCTTCCAGACAGCCCAAGAGGTAACAAATATAGTTTCAAACGGCCCAACGGGGCCCCAAGACGGCCCAAGAGAGCTCCAAGAGGCCCCGTCAGAGATCCCCGCGAGGCCAATACCCTTGAGTTTCTAGATTTTTCTTTGCTTTTTTGCGATCTCCCCTTTTCGGGCTTCCAACGCTCGGCCCAAGAGCCCCAACCCGGCCCACAGGACCACAAGAGGCCCTTGGGCCCCAGACGGCCCAAGAAGACCCAAGAGGGCCCCAAGAAGGGGAAGTCGACCTGACATTCTGCGCCCTCCGTCCCAAGATGTCCACCAAGACCGCCAGCAGGCACAAAAAGGCCCCCAGAAGCCCCAGGATGCCCCCAAGAGGCCCAAACCAGGCTCCTAGGAAGCCCCGCGACCTTCAAGGCCGTCTCCGAGAGGCTCCCAACGGAAGATCTCTCATGGAGCTTTGGGAACGTGCCAGCCAGCCACCCAGAAACTCTAGACGCTTCGCGTAGCCCCACCAGCCCGCTGGTCATTTTGTCCAGTGCACGTGCCCGTGCTAGCAGCACGTCAGCAAGCTCAGCGCCACCCAGCCTGCAGCTGCCGTCTGAGGTGGCCGGCCGCGTTTCTGTTTTAGCCAATTAGCCTCGCCCGTGGCCCGGACGTTGCCTTCGCCGCCTGACCGTTGTCTTGTGGCAGCGACCAAAAAAATAACCCCACCAGCCCATCCAGAAACGATGCCCTGAGGAATTGCCTGGAGCAGGGAAGTGGGCAGCACAGAAGAAGTGTCCCCCAGTGGAGGCCTCTTGGAGCGTCGTCGGGGCTTCTTGGCTGTCCTGGGCGCCTCTTAGAGCGTCTTGGGTGCCTCGGAGAGCTTCTTGGAGCCTCTTGGGGTTCTTGGGAGCCTCTTGGAGGCCTCTTGGGCGCCTGTTGGGGCCTCCTGGGACCTCCTGGGCGTCTCTTGGGGCCCTCTTGAAGTGCTCTTGGAGCCCTCTTGGTCCATCTTGGAGCCATCTTGAGGCATCGGATGGCCATCGGAAGCGAAAAGGCGAGAACGCCAAACACATTGCACATTGATTTCCCGAAGGTTTGGGAAGGATTTGGGCCTCTTCGGTGCCTCCTGGGGGAGCTCTTCGGCCACTGGGAGTCGTCTTGGAGCGGTCTTGGGGCCTCTTGGGGCATCGTGGGAGCCATCTTGAGGCATTTTGGGATATCTTGAGCCATCTTGGAGGTCATCTTGGGCTCCCCCAGGCGCTCTTGGAGTCATCTTAAGCAGTGCCCCCCCGCCAAGGAGGCCAACATCTTAGTAAAATCAAAGATTTGGGCATTCTCGCCGAGGCCTCTTGGAGCGTCTTGGTTGCCTTTGGGGGGGCCCTTGGGGGTCTCTTGGGAGCCTCTTGGGGGCATCCTGGGAGCCTCTTGGGGGCCTCTTGGGGCCTCCTGGCCACCTCTTGGGGCCCTCTTGGGGCACCCTTGGGAGCCTTGGGAGCGCTCTTGGGACCATCTCGGAGGATGCCGATCAAAGAAGGGGGGGGGTCTTAAATTAGCGCTGCCCCCCCAAGAGGCCAACCTGGAGCCAAAACCCTTGTAAAACCAATGATTTTGGCTTCCTCGCCGAGGCCCTTTTGGACGCTCTGGCGACCCGCGGAACGCCCCCTCCAGGTCCAGGGGAAGGGGGTAGGGACAGGGGTCAAGTTAGCGAGCTCGAACGAGCCAGAGGGCTCCGTCCACTCCCACCCGCCCTCCCACAACATAAGAAGCAAGTGCGTCGCGTCCGACGCCTGTCGCTCATCTTATATCGTGGGCGGGTAGACGGTCAGCGCGCGACATGAGCTGCGTCCTATTCCTGCCGCGCGTTGAGCAACGTCGACGAGAAACAAAACCGCGCGCGATGTACGCCGCGCCCCGCTCCAGCCTCTCATGTTGCATCGTCGGCGACAACATGTCCAGCGCGCGAAGTGCGCCGCGTCTCGTTCCAGCCACGCCTGTTGCACCGCCAATCGTTTCGCTCCTGCCGCGCATGGAGGAGGGCGAGGAGGAGGAGGAGGAGGAGGAGGAGGAGGAGGAGGAGAGGGAGGGAGGGAGAAACTGAGGAGGAAAAGGAAAACGCCTCTTGGGAATTCGCGGGGCGTCCTGGGAGTTTTCTGGTCTACGCCTGGGGGCCTCTTGGGTATATCTTCCGGGTTGGAACATTGTCAACACAAGTAGGGGTTAACCTCACAGTCCTTCAAACACCAAATGAAACACAATATTTGTGTTGCCCCCCCAGGACCTCCTGGACGCCTTCTTTCGACTTCCTCGGGGTCTCCTGATGCATTTGCTTGAAACGCACTTGCTTGAGACATTCTGACTTGCCGCCCGCCCAGCTCCTCAACCCGACGGACCGCAGCGTCGACGACAAAAAAGTCCATGTTGACGAGCAGGCGTCCCCGCGCGATGTGCGCCGCGCCCCATTCCCGCTACGCGATTCGCAGCGCCGACGAGGAGAAAGTACACGTTGGCAAGAAAAGCGTCGACGTTGCATTTTTTTCGACTGGTAGGACGAGAGGTCCCGCGTGCGGTTGGCCAGGCGCCCGCGCGCCGCGATGTGCGCCGCGTCCCATTAATTCCACATTTTTTCGCAGCGTCGACGACAAGAAAATCCATGTTGACGACAAAAACGCTGACTTTGCATTATTTGTTGATGGGTAGGACGCGCCCACCCGCTTAGGGCTTCCCAATCGATGTTCATTCCGTCCCATTCCTGCTACACTGCTCGTAACTCGACGACATGCTGGCGAGAACAATGTTGAGTTTGTATTGTTTATTTCGACAGGGCGGCGGGGCTGCCATCGGCCGGACGTGGCGGTGTTTAATCATGGGACGCAAGGATAAACCCCTCCCCGAAAGGGAAGATCTGGGCGGAAGAGGAAACACCCTAAACCACCTACGCCCTAAAGGGCTGGTGGGATTCCGCGCCCAGACGTTTGTTTTTGTCCTCTTTTCGCTGGCGCGGCTCCTTTCTGACTGGGCGACCCGTCCGAGAGTTCTCATTGAAAGTGTGTTGGGACCGCCAGCCACCGGGGACATTCTCCGCAGTACCTTTTGCCTTTTTTCCGAGCCCGCGCTGTCCGCGCGCATCCTCCGACCTCCTCGGACGGCAGCAAACAAGATGAAACACTGTAAAAAACAAGGCGCGCATGCGCTTCTAAATTTCCACCCTTGGCCCTAATACTACCCCAAAGCGATTCAACATCGTCCCTAAGCGGCCCAACGCGTTCCTTCCCGCACCGCGTTTACCCCGTAACGTGGCCCAGGAAGCTTCAAAGAGGATAAGAGAAGGCCTAGATTCAGCCCAAGATACACCCATTACAGTTTTTGGAAGCAAGCAGCAGCAAGCAGCAAGCCAGCCGGCAAACCAGCAAACGACAAGCCAGTACAAAAGAAAAATGCTTGTTAGCAGAAGTAGCAGCAAGCAGTCCAAATAAACAAGCAGCAGACGTCGACCCCTCGAGCCTCCAACCCAACGCCCCAACGCCCGAGTCGGCCCCCGGACCCTGGGGGGGTTATCTGGACTAGTCTCTCACCCCGAATCGATATTTAACGGCCCTGGAGTTTGAAAACAGCTCCCAGTCGGACGGGGCTAGGACAAGGATAAATCCGTTCCAGAGCGTTCCAGGAACGCTCTCAGAGCGTTGCAGAACGCTCTGAGAAGGCCGCGGCGCCCGAGACATCCTCCAGAGCCGCCTGATCTAAGAGATTCTATCCCCACCCGATGTTATCCTCGTCCTGGTTTCGTCTTAGCCCCAGAGCCTGAAAACACTGCCCAGAGACTTCGGGAGCCTCGAGACGGGGGTCAATGCAAACGAGGGTCGCCAGAGCGCCAGATCTCGCAGGATCCTGCAGCGCCGGGAGTGCACTGACCCGCGCTTGCGTGCAGGACCTTGCAGTACCCTGCAGGGCCGGCCTGACTGACTCGGGTCTGCACCTGACCCGGGTCAGTGCGTCTTGCAGGGACGACGGGCCTCAGCGAACCTCGACGCTCCTCCCTCCCGTCGCCCCTCGGGGCCGTCGCCCTCCCCTCCCGTCTCCCCTGAAAGGGCCTCGCCCTTTGTGGGTCGCCCAGCGCTTCCCCCCCTGGTCTCCTCGATGGTCTGTCGATCCTTGCTCCTCGCTCAAGGGCGCCCTCGAGGGTGCGAAGTTCTTGGCGTTTCGCGGTGCGGCTCCGATTCCTCATCCTCCTCTTCTCCCTCGCGGGGCGGCGCGAGAGCGCGAAGTCATTCGCGCAGCGCGATTGCGAAGTGTGGCGCCCCTCTCGCTCTTCGATCCTCTCCTCGCAGCATGTCTCGTCAGAGTGCTGAAGTAGCGAGAAGCATCACCCTGCGGCAAGAAAAACAGCAGCAGCAGCAGCAGCAACGAAGCAGCGTGAATCGGGCGACAGCAGCGGGTGCGCACCGCAACAGCAGCCGGCAGCAGCAGGTAGCGAGCAGCAGCACGCACGAAGCTGGAATTGGCCATCAGCAGCACCTTGCAGCTACAAACAGCAACAGCACGCGGCAGCGGTAAGCATAGCCAACAGCAAAATGCAGCGGCAGCAAGCAGCAGCACGCAGTATCATGCGCGTGATGCGAAGTTCGAGCCCCATGACATCCTGTCAGCCTCTCTGCAGCATGTCCACCACCACGTGCCAGTTCGTGCAGAAGAGTTCGTGGACGTGGTCCACTGGCCAACCCCAGTCGGCTACAGCGCTGGGATCAGCGCGTGCGAGAATGGCCAGCAGTGGCAGCGGGCTCTGTCGCTTCTCAGTGATTTGTCGGAGGTCGAATTGGAGCCCGACGCCATCAGCTTCACATCGCAAGTCCAGTGCGTGCGAAGAGGGCCTGGGGATCGTCTGGGGCAGAGGCTCTGGAGGCTTCTCCGGAGCAGCGCGGAGCACCCCAGGGCTGCTTCGGGTGGTGCCAGACGTGCCCCTGGCCCGAGGTGCCCCCAGGATTTCCAAGGAGACCCCCACGTCGTCGTCGTCGTCGTCGTCGCCGTCGCCGCCGTCGTCGTCGTCGTCGTCGTCGTCGTCGTCGTCGTCGTCGTCTTCGTCGTCGTCGTCTGTCGTCGTATGGCGTCCGTCGCCGTATCAGAGAACCACTCACGAGGCCCAGAAGGCCCCATGGGCTCCAAAACGGCGCGAAAAGCTGGGGGCACCTTGGGCCGGGGGAACCGTCAGCAACACCCGACCGCTGAGCACCCAAGAAGTCCCCCGGCAGCCCAGCGGAGCCCTCGGAGTGTCCCACGATGGCAAGAAAGACCTGCAACAAGACCCCGGACGCCCCAAAATGGTGCCAAATTGATCCGAAGAGGGTGCAAGATGGTCCCGCGCAGGTGGAATTTGTCACACTCCTCACAGTCATAATTCAGTTGCGCCACTTGCCATTTCTCGGCTCCACATACATAATACCTCCGTCATGGGCTCCAGAATTTTCGACAAGAGGACTTGACGAGCCTACAAGAGCCCCCAGGAAGGCACGAGACGCTCACAAGATGAAAATGATCTCTGATGGGCCCCGCTGGTCTTTGTGAAAGCCCCAAGATGTACTCGAGGCAACCTCCAGTCCCCTTAAGAGGGCCCCGCGCCAGGCAGCCAGAGGACCCCCAGATGGCCCCAAGGAAGCTCCAAGAAGTGGGCCCCAAGAGAGTCCCATGTCCTCCAGGGGCGCCCCAACTTGCCGAAGAGGCCCTCAGCAGCAAGCGGCAGCGGAGCCAGCAACAAGCGGAAGCGGCAAGCGCCAGCCACAAGCAGCAGCAGCAGCAGCAACAGCAGCAGCAGCAGCAGTAGCAGCAGTAGCAATCGGCAAGTAGCAGAGGCATCAATCACGAGCACGCTGCAATACCAGCTATCAGCACCAGCACGCAGCTACAAGCAGGAGCAAGTAATATGCAGCCAAGTTAGCACCAGTCGGCAGCAACAGGCAAGCAGCAGCAGTCGGCAGTAAGCAGCAGTGAGCAGCAGCGAGCTGTCGCAGGCAGCAGTTGTACGCCGCAGCCAGCAGCACGCAGAAGAAAGCCGCAGTGCGCGGCAGTCAGACGCGGCAGCCCACGGGGCCGCGCAGACGTGAAGGTGCCCAGACAGCCCCCCAGATGTGTTTTGCCATATTGCGTTGTGTCTGCGTGGTCCTCTCTGATGTCTTGTGTGCCACATTGTGCGATGCCCCCTGAGCCGTGCCGCGGCCGAGCTTAGTCACAGTGGTGCTGCACAGTACCGCCTTCGCTGCGACATTCACCCTTACCTAGTCGTGTGTTATCCTTGCGGTTGCTGCAAAATTTTGGCGTTCTCGCTTTTTCGGGTTTCGACGCTCCAAGACTGCCAAAGAGGTTCTCAACATCGCCCCAAGACGGCCTAACACGCCCCGAAGAGGGACCCCAGACAGCCCACGAGGGCACCAAGACGGCCTCAGAGGCTCCCAAGATGGCCCAGACGGCCACAAGAGGACCCCACGAGGGGGAACCGGAGCCAAGATTTCGCGCCTCCCGCCCCCGGGGTGACCCCCAGGACAGCCCGCAGGCCCCCCAGGGGGAACCCAGCAGCCCAGGGAGGCCCCGAAGAGGCCCAGGCCGCGCCCCAGAGGGGCTCCGAGGCCTCCCCGGCCGCTCGAAACGATGCGCGGGACGCTGGAAACCTCGCAGGAGACGCTTGCAGGGGCGCCGTTTACGATGCGTGGGGGCCTGCAAAGCGCGCAAGGAAGATCTGCCTAGGAGCCTGGAAGAACTGCCGAAGCTCTTCCGAAGCTCTGCCGAAGCGCTTCGCGCACCCTGGAGCCCCCCCCGAAGAAAAGCCTCCCAGAGGCCGCCGAGGGAAGCTCTCCATCGGAGCGCTCCGGGGCCTCGCGGGCCGCGGGCTCCTCCCTCCGTGCGGAGAAGCGCGCCGGGGCGCCGCGCAGAGGCCAGGGGCTCGCGCCGTGGTCGTGGGCGAGGGCAGCGCCGCCGTCACGGTGGGTTTCCAGGAGGTCACGCCGTCCCGGACGTGGTCGCGGTGCAAAGACCAAGGGCTCCCTCGAGGGCGCGAAGTTATTCGCGCTTCGCGGTCCTCGTTCCTTCTCCCCTTCCTCCTCGTCCTCCTATTCTCCCTTTGGGAAGGCGGCGCGAGAGCGCGAAGTTATTCGCGCTTCGCGCAGCGCGAAGCGCGAAGTTGGGAGCCCTAGGGTTTCCAGGAGGTCACGTCGTCCCGGACGTGATCGCGGTGCAAAGACAGCAAATCCGGGCGCAAGGCTTTCGGTTTTTTGGGGGGCCTCGGGGGGCCATCGCCGGGCACGATTCGCGATCGGGAGCCGTCCCTCGGGAACGGGTCGGGACTTCCGGGGGCCCCGTAGACATCATGGCATCGCATGTTTGGGTTTGGTTTTTCTGATTCAAGAGGGTCCTGGAGATGGCGCGTTGACAGTCACGAGGTTGACATTGGAACAGTGAGGGCCACCTTGGGCTGCGGCGGGGCCACGATTTGCGAGCCGCTCCCGAGATCCAGGTCGGGGAACCCATGCGTGGCCGAGGCTCACCGTGGCGAGAAGTGCCTCTTCCTACTCCGCGTTCCTTGTGCAAGGGCTCCCACGAGGGCGCGAAGTTATTCGCGCTTCGCGCTTCGCGGTCCTCGTTCTTTCTCCCCCCTCCTCCTCGTCCTTCTCTTCTCCCTTTGGGGGGGCGGCGCGAGAGCGCGAAGTTATTCGCGCTTCGCGCTTCGCGCAGCGCGAAGCGCGAACTTAGGAGCCCTTGTTGTGGCAGCACGATGGCTGTACCCCACACAGCTTTCCACTGGTTGCCGGTGCCCTGAGGCCGCCTGCGCGCGCCTGGCTCCCGCCGAGTCTCGGCGGCCCGGGCCTCCTTTCGGCGACAAAGGGTATGGTTACGCCAGGGTGTGGTTTGCGATCGGCACCGTTGGGACGCTGTCCTCGTCGGGCCTCCTCGGGGCGCGGGAGAACTCTATCGAGGTCCCCGCGCGCCCCCCAGGGTGCCCCCCAGGATGTTCCCCAGGTTGCCCGTTGCAAACCGCACCCTTTGCAAGCCACACCTTTTGGAGTCGTCGATCCTTCCCCCCCGCCGCCTCACCCGCGGCCGCTCCACGCTTTTCCACCCGCTCCGGTGCGCCCAGTGTCCTGCTCGGCCCGTCGCCTCTGCAGTCGCGCTCTCGTCTGCCCGCGCTGCGAACACGAGCCAATGGCTCGAGAGGCGTGCGCCAGGCCGCGGGTCCCCCAAGGGACCCTCGACACGTTTTGCGCGAAAGGGAGGACTCGAACAAGCCTTCCGAGCACATGCCAGTAGCATGTGGCACTGCGCATCGCGATCATCTGGAAGACGGGTTTGTTGTAGAGTTTCTTGGCCTTTTTGGAGGCTTCGGGGGGTCCTCTTGAGAGCTTCGTTGGGGCTCCTGGGGACTTTTGGGGGCCCCGTCACGGTGGGCTCGGGCCAGACGAATGGGTAGGATGGGGAAACGGTGGTTACGAAATCTGCTGCATGCAGCTGGTCTCGGCCCCGCCGCTGGGCCCATTCTGCGATACATGGGCGCCAGGAGGCGCCAGGCAAACCAGCTACGTGAGCTCATTCTCTACCCTGCCCTTTGCTATCCACCCCTTTCGTCCCCCCCGGTGGGCTTCCAGGAGATAGCTGGTTTGCTGGATTCTTCCTCTGGCCTCAACTCTCAGGATGTCCTGTTGGGCCCCAGCGATTTTTGTTGCGTTTCGGTCGCCGTGGCCTTTCCTCGGGCCCTGGGCCCTCTCAAGAACGGGTCGGGAATGCAAAAGCCACCCCCTGGGAAAGGAGCGGGGGCCGTCTGGGGACAGTTCGGAGCTTCAAGAGACTGGGGTCAATGCAAGCGGGGGTCAGTCAGAGCGCCGGATCTTGTAGGATCCTGCAGGGCCAGGGGTGCATTGACTTGGGCCTGCGTACAGGATCCTGCAGGATCGTGCAGGATCCTGCAAGGTCCGACTGACCCGGGTTTGGATTGATCTGGGTCAGTCGATCCCCGACTTGCGTTACGGTGCACTGAAATTCGCATCGTCGGGTGTTTGGGGTCTTCGATTGCTTTTCCCCAGATGAGGCCTTCGACTGCCCTATCGCTGGGGGGCTGCAGATGGTAATGTGTGCATTGGCAGTCTTCGCTCGTGCCTTGGAGGCAGCAGCGGCGAAACCGACCGCTTTGGTGCAAAAGAGGTCGGTCTTGCCAGTGGCAGTTAAAAGTTTACCAGATGTTGGTCCAGTGGTTGTCTTAACATTTGCGTTCTCCTCCTCCTCCTCCTCCACCTCCTCCTCCTCCTCCTCCTCCTCCCTCTCCTCCGCTTTTTTGTTTTTGTTTAATGATTGTCACGTGCTCGCCGTCTCCAGCTTCAAGCAGCCCAAGACGGCCCGAAGGGCGCCCAGATCGCCCCAAGACGGCCCAAGCGGCGCCCAAGAGGTGCCCCAGACACTCAGACCGCCCAGGAGAGCCAGAAGCATCCCGAAACGGTTTCAGGACGGCCCCCAGAGGGCCCCCAAAAAACGTCCAGTGGGTCACCAGGCAAGCCAGGAGAGGCCCGAGTGAAAGAGAGAGCCCAAAGAGGGGCCAACAACGGCCTTGGGAGCTGTGACTTTGAAGGCTGCTCAAATCAACGAATTAGATCGCCCATCTAAGCCTCGGAGGGTTTGGCTGGACGGCTCTGGAGCACCCCAGGTGGCCACAAGGGAAGCCAAGAGAGGTCCGAGAGAGCCCGAAGAGCAGCCCACAACAGCCCCAGGAGCTGTCACTTCGAAGGCCGCTCAAAAGTCACGGATCAGAGAGCCCTCTTGGGCCTTCTGGCGGTGAGGTTGTGCCGATGACACTTGACAAGCACAGCCCCAAGGTTTTTCGACCGCGAGGATCTCACAGGCACACACTGCAGGCTGCAGGCTGTAGTCGTTACTGCGAGTCTGGGCGATGCGCGTGCGAGTCGCGCCAGCAGTGCGCTCGTTGCCCCCGAGCGCCCGAAGCGCCCCGGCGCTCCCCGACGGCTCTAGAGAGCCCCTTGGTGGCCCCAAGACAGCCTCTGACAGCCCAAAGACAGCTCTGCGACGCTCTGGAGCGCGCGAGGACGGCCCAAGAGGACCCGAACGGAGCCCCATGAAAGCCCACGATGTCCCGACGACGGGCCAGGTGACTGGGAAAACAGCTGAACCGGACCCCGATGACGGCCCCCTGAGGCCAAAATCAAAGGTTGTCCGAGGTAGTTTTGGAAGGGTTCCAATAGTCTCGCCATTTCGGGCAAAGAATAGCCCCAGACGGCTCCAGGGCCATCCCAGATCGCCCCAAGACGGTCCAGGAGGTCCCGCCAAGCCAAGTGCCCCAAGACAGCCCCAGAGGGACCGAAGATTGCCCAGAAGAAGCCCAAGACATCCTCATAGAGCCCCTGGTGGCCCCCTGGACAGCTCCAAGAGGGCCCTGGGAGCTGCCCAACACGCACCATAGCGAGCTCCAAGACGGCCCGAAACCTCCTATATGGCCCCAGGACGGCCCAAGAAAGCGCCGAAATGGGCCAAGAGGGCCCCTAGAGGCTCCGGCGAGACCCATCCCCACGAGGGCTCGAAGGGGGGCCGAAAGGAGCGCAGACGACGCCCAAACCGCAGCCCCTAATGGGCAAAGAACCTTCCGAGGCTACTCCCACATGCCCCAGAGTCGCCCAAGAGACTCCGGTGGCTCCCAAGGAGCTCCCACGGAGAGTGACTCGAGCCACGACACCCTTTCGCCGTCTCTCGAACTCCAAACGCCCCCAAGACAGGCCCCGGACCCCCTAAGACAGGCCCCGGACCACTTCGAGATGCCCCAGAACCTTCCAGGAGACGGAGCTCCCGAGGGCGGTCCCAGGGCCGCTCCGATGTGCCCCCGAGTCGCCCACGAGACTCCGACGCTCGCTCAGAGGCTCCGACGGTGTCCACGGTGCTCCCACGAGCGGTCCCTGGAGGAGATGCCTATGGCTCCCAGGGGGCTCCCAAGAGCGATCCCAGGACCACACCGAGATGGCCCGGAGTTGCCCTCAAGGCCTCACCCACTACGGCCGATCAGGTGTGACAGGGGGCATTTCTCGGGGCTGGACAGAACCCCCAATAGTGACACGTCGATTAGTGAATTGTCCGTTTTCGGTTCTCGAGAGGGCGCCGTGGCCGTCAGTTTCCAGGCTTCCGCCCGCCAGATTTGGGCCCGAGGTCGTTTTCACTAAACCACGCTTTGCTAAAGGGGGTTCTGTCCATCCCCGAATTTCCTGTGAGCTCGGAACATTGCCCGATTTCCAGTGGGGGGGGGGTCGGGGAACATCGAAAAAACACGCGTGGAACCCTTACCCCCCCCAACCCGAAATTCGGGTCTTCGGGTTGGGTTGGGGTGGTCTGGTAGGTAGTCAATTTCCTGTGAGCTCTTCCTCCTTCCCTCATCGAGGCTCCAGCCGCTCTGGGGCCGCCACTCCGCCTCTTGGGAGTTACAGGGGGGACCTGCACCTGCAGCCACTTCGGTCGCTCCCCCTCCACGGCCGATATTCGAGGTGACAGGAGCAAGGGCTCCCTCGAGGGCGCGAAGTTATTCGCGCTTCGCGCTTCGCGGTCCTCGTTCCTTCTCCTCCTCCTCCTCGTCCTCCTATTCTCCCTCTGGGAGGGCGGCGCGAGAGCGCGAAGTTATTCGCGCTTCGCGCTTCGCGCAGCGCGAAGCGCGAAGTTGGGAGCCCTAGAGGAGGGGGTGCCTGCAGATACTGCGGGGACCAGTACCTCGCTCCCCCCCCACGGCCGAGTGGAGCCTTCGGTGGACCCCAAGACAGCCCCAAGACCACGAGATCCCTCCCTGGACCACTCCGAGATGGCGCAGACCCCCAGGATATTCGAAGACGGCTTCCAGTCCCAGCTCCAGGAGCCTGCCGCAAACCCGGCAGCTCACGTCAGGGGTGACAGGGGAACCTTCTGACACCAACCTCACAGCACGCACGCACAGCAGGTTTCCCGGGCTGTCCCCCAGAAGAGGCTCCGGGGGACAGCCCGGGAACGGCCCCACAGAGACGCCCAAAAGAGGCCTTCAAGACGCCCAGGACAGGCTCGCAGGAGGGCACAACGCTCCCAGGGGCGCCCGAGCCGTTCAATTTCGAAAAGTTGTTCACCCACGGTGTGCGAGTCCCAGGTTCAGCACACCGTGGATTTAACCCACGGGTTCACACTACTCAGCTACAACGCTGGAATCAGCGCGTGCGGGAATTGCGAGCAGTGGCAGCGGGCTTTGGCACTGCTCAGCGAGATGCGGGAGGCAAAGCTGGAGCCCGACGTCACCTCTACTAAAATGCCGCGGCCAGTGCACGCAAAGGGGTCTCCAGTGGCAACGAGCAGGCCCCCTCGGATCGCTCCCGGCATGCCTCGAAACCGCCATGGTCGCCCCCAGAGCGGCCAACATGACCTCCACATGGCCCAGGAGGCTCCAACGACGCCCTCAAACAGCCTCAAGAAGGTCCTCACGATGGCCCCCAGAGGCACGGCTCGGGGATTCCCTTTTTTTTCCCAACCATCCTGTGGTGTTGGGTCCTCGTTTTCAATGGGCAGCGCCCCGCGTCTCCTCCTTCCTTCCTTCCTCCTCCCCCTCCTCCCTTCTCCGTCCTCCCTCATCCCTCCTCCCCCTCCCCCTCCTTGCCTTTGCTCTCGGCACACCTCTCACACGTTTCGTAGCCCCATAGGGAGATCCACCGAAGGCCCCAGTGGCACAGCCCGCATGCGGTTCCCTCACCCAGGGCAGCGTTTCGTGGCCCCATGGGGAGCTCCACCGAAGGCCCCAGTGGGGGGGGGGGGGGGGGGGGGCGCATGCGGTTCCCCCACCCAGGGCAGCGCTTCGTGGCCCCATAGGGAGCTCCACCGAAGGCCCCAGTGGCTGCTCTCGCATGCGGTTCCCCCACCCAGGGCAGCGTTTCGTGGCCCCATAGGGAGCCCCACCGAAAGCCCCAGTGGCTGCTCTCGCATGCGGTTCCCCCACGCAGGACAGCGTTTCGTGGCCCCACCCGAAGGCCCCAGTGGCTGCTCTCGCATGGGGTTCCCCCACCCAGGGCAGCGTTTCGTGACCCCATAGGGAGATCCACCGAAGGCCCCAGTGGTTGCTCTCGCATGAGGTTCCCCCACCCAGGGCAGCGTTTCGTGGCCCCACAGGGAGCTCCACCGCAGACCCCAGTGGCTGCGCCCGCATGCGGTTCCCCCACCCAGGGCAGCGTTTCGTGGCCCCATAGGGAGCTCCACCGAAGGCCCCAGTGGTTGCTCTCGCATGCGGTTCCCCCACCCAGGGCAGCGTTTCGTGTCCCCATAGGGAGCTCCACCGAAGGCCCCAGTGGGGGTGCCCGCATGCGGTTCCCCCACCCAGGGCAGCGTTTCGTGGCCCCATAGGGAGATCCTCCTCCGTAGGCCCCAGTGGCTGCTTTCGCATGCGGTTCCCCCACCCAGGGCAGCGTTTCGTGGCCCCACAGGGAGCTCCATCGCAGGCCCCAGTGGGTGCGCCCGCATGCGGTTCCCCCACCCAGGGCAGCGTTTCGTGGCCCCACGGGGAGCTCCACCGTGGGCCCCAGTGGGGGTGCCTGCATGCGGTTCCCCCACCCAGGGTAGCGTTTCGTGGCCCCATAGAGAGCTCCACCGCAGGCCCCAGCGGGGGTGCCCGCATGCGGTTCCCCACCACCACCACTGTGGCAGGCCCCTCACGCAGTTCGTGGCCCCATAAGGAGCTCCACCGAGGACGATATTCACAACTGCGGTACTCACAGCTGCATATGGTTGGGTCCTTCGCCAGGCTAATTCTTTTGGTTTTGTGATTTTGGCGTTCCAGCCTCCCGGGGCTTCAGGCAGTCCGCGACGGCCCGAGAGGTTCCCCAAGAGGCTCCAAGAGGATCCCCAGACGTCTTGTGGCTCCCCCCGGGGCTGTTCCGGCTGGGCCCTCGGAGCCGGCATGCTGCCTCGAGAGCGGCCCCATGCGGCCCAGGCGCGCTTGGAGACCGCCGAAGACGGCCCCAGCACGGCCCAAGATGACGCCTTCAGATCGCTGCAAGAGGGTCCCCAGACGGTTTCCAGAGGCAGGGCTTGCATGATTCAGGAGGGAGAGGTAGTCATACATGCAAAATATCGTCGATTCCAATGGAGACGTGGGCACATCTCGGAAGTAGTGGGGAAACGAGAATCCAGAAAATGTGCGCCATATACGGGATCCTAGGATTTGTCTTTATTTCCTAACCATCCTGTGGTGTTGGGTCCTCGTTTTGAAGAGACGGTGCTCCGCTTTCCTCTCCTGTCCTTTCCTGTCATCCTCCCCTCTTCCCTCCTCTCGTCACCATCACCCTCATCATCATCATCATCATCATCATCATCATCATCATCATCATCATCATCATCATCATCATCACCACCACCACCACCATCATCATCATCATCATCATCGTCGTCGTCGTCGTCGTCGTCGTCGTTGTCATCATCATCGTCATCGTCATCAGCATCAGCATCAGCATCAGCATCAGCATCATCATCATCATCATCATCATCAGCATCAGCATCATCATCATCATCATCATCATCATCATCATCATCATCATCATCATCATCATCATCATCATCATCATCATCATCATCTGTTTCAGCACACCAGCACACCCCTCACACGCTTCGTGGCCCCATAGGGAGCCCCGCCGCAGGTTCCAGTGCTACCGTCCGCATGCGCCCCACACATCCAGTGCACCGTTTCGTGGCCCCACCGAAGGTCCCAGCGCTTCGTGGCCCCATAGGGAGCTACCGAAGCCCCCAGTGGGACCGTCCGCATGCGTCCCGAAAACCCAATTTGGCATTTTCGCATACCCAGTGCAGGTTTCGTGCCCCCATAGGGAGCTCTGCCAAAGGCCCCAGTGCTACCGTCCGCATGCGCCCCGAAAACCCAACTTGGCAAGTTCAACCACCCAGTACAGCGCTTTGTGGCCCCATAGGGAGCTTCACCGAAGCCTCCGGTGGGACCGCCCGCATGCGTCCCGAAAACACAATTTGGCATTTTCACCCACCCAGTACAGCGCTTCGTGGCCCCATAGGGAACTCCACCGAAGGCCCCAGTGGGACCGTCCGCATGCGCCCCGAAAGCCCAACTTGGCATTTTCACCCACCCAGTACAGCGCTTCGTGGCCCCATAGGGAGCTCCGCCGAAGGCCCCAGCATGCGCCCCACACACCCAATTTGACATTTTCACCCCCCCAGTACAGCGCTTTGTGGCCCCATATGGACCTCCACCGAAACCCCGAGTGGGACCGCCCGCGTGCGTCCCAGACAGCCAGTTTGGCATTTTGGCCTACCCAGCACAGCGCTTCGTGGCCCCATAGGGAGCTCCACCGAAGCCCCCAGTGGGACCGTCCGCATGCGCCCCAAAAATCAAGTTTGGCATAGTAAAGCGTGTCGTGGCCCCATAGGGGGCTCTGCCGAAGCCCCCCGTGGGACCGCCCGCGTGCGTCCCACACTCCTAATTTGGCTTTTTTTCACCCACGCAGTACAACGTTTCGTGGCCCCATAGGGAGCTCCACCGAAGCCCCCGGTGGAACCGCCCGCATGCGTCCCACACACCCAATTTTGCATTTTCGCCCACCCGGTACACAGCTCTTCGTGGCCCCATAGGGAGCTCCACCGACTGCCCCAGTGTCACCGCCCGCATGCGTTCCCCCCCGCCCAGTGCAGCGCTTCGTGGCCCCATATGGAGCTTCACCGAGGACGATCGTCACAATTGCGGCACCCACAACTGCAGATGGTTGGGTCCTTCGCCTGGATAATTATTTTGGAGTGTGTGTGTGTGTGCGTGAGTCTGTCTGTCTGTCTGTCTGTCTGTCTGTCTGTCTGTCCGTCCGTCCGTCCGTCCGTCCGTCCGTCTGTCTGTCTGTCTGTCTGTCTGTCTGTGTTTGTGCTTGTGTTTGTGTTTGTGTTTGTGTTTGTGTGTGTGTTTGTGTTTGTGTGAGTGCGTGTGTGTGTGTGCGTGTGTGTGTGGGTGTGTGCGTGTGTGTGTGTTTGTGTGTGTGTTTGTGTGTTTGGGTGTTTGTGTGTATATGTGTGTATGTGTATGTGTGTGTGTTTGTGTGTGTTTTTTTTTGTGTGTGTGTGTGTGTGTTTGTGTGTGTGTGTGTCTGTGTGTGCCTGCGTGCGTGCGTGCGTGCGTGCGTGTGCGTGCGTGTGCGCGTGTGTGCGCGTGTGTGCGTGTGTGCGTGTGTGGGTGTGTGCGTGTGTGGGTGTGTTTTTGTGTGTGTGTGTGTGTGTTTTTGTGTGTGTGTGTGTTTGTGTGTGTGTGTGTGTGTGCGTGTGCGTGTGCGTGTGTGCGTGTGCGTGTGCGTGTATGTGTGTGTGCGTGTGTGCGTGTGTGCGTGTGTGCGTGTGTGCGTGTGTGCGTGTGTGCGTGTGTGTGTGTGTGTGTGTGTAAATTCGTGTGTCCCTGGGCGCTTGTAATGACGCCCTGAGATCGCCCCTAGAGAGGGTCCCCTGACAGCTTCCAAAGGCAGGATTCAAACGATATTCCCCCATCAGGTTTTTAAATCATTTTCATGTTTTCGCCTTCTCGGGCGCCAGGCAGGCCACTGCGGCCCGAAGGGGCCTCCCAGACGGCCAAGAGGCTCCCAAGGCCGCTCTGGCCAGACCCTCGGAGCCGCCTTGGTGGCCTCCAGAGTGGCCGCGGGTTGTCCAGGACGGCCCGAGGCGATCCAAGCGTGCTCTGAGACCGCATAATATGGCCCCAGCACGACCCGAGAGGCTCACATGACGCCAGGAGAAACCCCAGACGGCCTCCAGAGACAATGCTCGTGGACCCCCCTTACATGTTCCAAGTATGATCGTGGTCTCGCCTTAGTGGGCACAAAGAATCCACAACGGCCCGAGGGGCTTCCCAGATCGCCCCAAGACGGCCTAAAGAGGCTCCCAAGAAGGGCCCCCGGCGGCCCAGGAGAGCCCGAAGCAGCCCGAGAGAACCCCAGAGGGCCCCAAGAGAACGTCCAGGTGATCACGAGGCAAGCCAGGAGAGGCCCGAGAGAGCCCAAAGGGGGGCCCACAACGGCCCTGGGAGCTGTCATTTTAGAGGTTGCTCAAGCTAACGGATCAGAGAACCCTTTTCTGGGCCCTCTGGGCAAGGATCTGGCTTGATAACTCCAGAGTGCCCCAGGTGGCCACAAGTGGAGCCAAGAGAGGCCCGAGAGAGCCCCGAGGAGCCCACAATGTCTCTGAGAATGAACTGTCACTTCGAAGACGGCTCAAAATGTCGGAGAGACCCC